GTTAGTTGCAATTGCTCGCACACCCCTCCTCCCATTTCCCATTTTACAGATGCGGAATTTAAGAGGGGGATCAGGACATCTTGCACCCCCCCTCTCCCTCCCCTCCCCCCTTTCTAGATCGCCACTTCTGCAGCGTGCATTTTGCAGGCTGTAGAAGGTTCGGCCAGACATGCATTTTGGAGACACAAATTAGTTTTGCTCGGTGCAGCGTCGTGAGGAATGGCGAAAGCGTCTGTCACAATGAAAATGCGCTTTCTGGCAAAAGTGTTTCTGCAAACATAGTAGTTTTCGGACCACGCTTTCTTGACTGTGCCGAAGATGCGTGGTAGAGGAACCTTTACAACGTGGTACATTTTCCCCCCGCCTTCCTTTCTTCGCTGCTTTTTCAGGGATTACTTTTTATTCCTGAGGGACCCCCTCCTCCGTTTAAGGGTGTTTATTCGACAATTATGCTTGTGCCACTTGTTATAAGTAGGGTTCGGCGTTTTCGGTTTAAACCGATAAAAGTACGCCGAATCCATTTTCGGAAATTCGGTTTTAACCGAAAAAGGTCAGTTTTTAGGCACAACATTTTCAATTGAAACCGATAAAAATACGTCGCACTCATTTTCTAAAATTCAGTTTTAACCGGAAAAGCTCACTTTGACCTTCCAGTCGTACCGCAGAGCCGTGGCGAAAAAGTGGAACGACAGTGTCTATCGAAATGTTCCCGAATTTATGCGATACACGGATGCCATCACGACGTTTTGGTTTGAATGTGCCACATCATCGATCCGAATGTGAAGTCTGAAATGCCCCCATGACTCCCCATATACAAGCGTATTTTTTAACTTGTTGTAAAGAAGACTGACTTGATGCAAGCTCTGCATGTTATGTTGTGTTTCAAAACGTCGCACCGTGTCTCTTTTGGTGGTCACAATTGGTTGATTGGCCGATTTGGGCTCAGGCAGCTCTTCATATCCCCAGCCTGCCAGTGTCAGCGTTCTGAGGGCATTTTCGAAGCTCAGGGTCATATTAGCAGGGAAGAAAGAGTGCGGATCAACAAGGAGAACTAAGGAATGTATATGTGTGTGTACTATAATGAGATCACATAATCCTGATGTACAGACGGTGAAGTTCCTTTTTTTTTTTTGGAAATAGGCTTTATATCTGACTTGTCTGTACTTCTGTTTTTTTCTTGTTTCTTTTACAGTTGCACACATTTGCCAAATAAAGTGTCCATTTCTTTTTCAATGTATCTGTGCCGTTATTCTTTGAATGATCACAAATATCAGAGCTAGAAGAATCATCTGATCCGGTGACCGTTGGTGTTTATTGTATATTCACCGAAAAACGCTGATAAAATTTTGTGGGCATAAATATACGCCGAAAAAAAACCGAAAATTGAATTTTAAAATAAACACAGAAAAAAGTACGCCGAATTTTGAAAATATAGAAACCGAAAACGCGGAACCCTAGTTATAAGTAATCCTCAATTGCTTTTATTCTGCACTCAGAGACTGTGAAGTTTAAACAAAATACGGAGGTGGATGAAGCATGGGGAAGAACTTGAGAACGACTCTCCTGTGAGACTTGGAGCGGTTGCCAACGTTCGGCTGTCCAGTATAGATCTTTCTTTTCAGGTATCCCTCCCATACACACTTGCAGTTATATGTAACGTATAATTAATACGAATGCTTCTTTTCTCAGGGACTACTTTCTGAGGCAGTACAGCAACAAGTTCCAATGACGAAAACATGTTTGGGTGCCTCAATGATGTGTATGTGTAAAATGGGTCGTGAACAATTTTTGTACTTTCACTAAATACCACTAAGAACTAATCCGTGACACTGATAACTTGCAAAAATACCCATTAGTTTTCCTCCCGACGCAACGGCAGACGCATAAAAAATAGAGGAATGGAACTGCTGTTTCATTCAAATTTTTAAAAATTTTTAAAATCAATTTTTTTTAAAGTTTTTTGAAAAAAATAATTTTTTTATTTTGAGGTTTTTGGTTTTAGAAACTATACACTCTTACACTAAATTTCATAACCGTGCGCCAAATAGTTACGTTGATATAAAATATTTTCAACACATTGTGAGGCACTAACAAAGTAAGGAGTTCAATGTTTGAATGCATTTTTCTCAGTTCCACTTTTTGTTGCAAATTTAATAATAATAATAATAATAATAATCTTTATTCGCAAGAGTAATGTTACCTCGAGTGACTTGCGAGGCAAAGACAGAAAGGCGAGAGCCCGTACACTAGTGTGCCTGTCAGCCAACCACCCGGCCCATGGAATAACAAAACAGAAACAACAAAAACAGAGAACAAAGAAAAACAAAGTGAAACCAAACTCTGAACATCATGGCGAAGATTCATTCTAGGTGCTTAGATCGCGTGAGAATGCACGGCGCAGGGCAGCGGACTCGTCACAGTTGTTGGGGAGAGGAGATTGAATCGACAGGGGGGCCGCAAGAAAGTCTGAGGGAATCTTTTGTTTGAAGGTAAAATTATTCTGATACCACAATCGAGATGTTTCTGAACCGAAATTTACTGGGGAATCGGGCTATCTACTTTATTTTTGTTTAAGTTGAAGTCCCTACTAAAAAAAACTGTTTTCATACATTGACATGGGACAGATATGCATCTCTTATTTCGAGGTAATCACTCTTCCTGAAATATTTACATTTGAGCTATAAAAACTAGATAGCCTGAAGTCCCACATCCCCCACTTTATATCCAAGCAGTTAGAAAGATGCTTAATAGCTTCATTTGCAAAGAGTGACACATCTTATGCAGGTGTGTAAAGTTGTTCTAGAGCGCTGAAAGTTTGCACAAAACACCTACATCTGAAGTTAAATCTCCCCTGCAAATTTCATTCCAATCACTTGTGTAGTTCACAAGTTCAACCACTAGCCAGTGTCCCCCCTTAACTCGCAAGTAGAACAAGCGGCCACGTGACCTGATGCTCACTATATACCGTCCGTGTTAGTCATAGTCATGCGCTGGGAATTAGAAAAGCATAGAGCATGGGCTGAGCTTCAGACATTGTTAGGGTTTGGCTATTCTCATCTTTGACTGAACATGAACCATGAGCCAAATGTTTGGCGATGCTGATTGTCATGAACCTGAACATTCGATTTGGGCTCATGACAATCGAGTATGTCACGGTGTCACATGACTCGCGATGCAAAGTTATGATGTTATGCGACATCACGGTGTCAGCAACGCTAATGAATCCAGTGAAGTTCTCAACTTAAATCGACTTGACGAAGTAAGTCGTGTGACGTCACGGGGCCACGTGACATTACTTGACAGCATGTTTTGACACTGACATCTTGTGAACACGTTACACATGAATAATCATAGTGCCAATACAAAAGTGCCACGAGAGCCCACAATTTCTCATACATTGCAATGCTGTATATAACGATACGATCAGTACATAAAAATGCACAGCTTTGCCAATTATTTATACTCAAATGTTCATTTCATGTTATTAACAAAAAAATTACCGTGAACCGTTTTGAACCAGTTACTGTTACAATTTTCTGGTTCAGTTCCAAGATGGCGGCGGAGATTTTGGTTTGATTTTCCGACTCGGCCAAAAATAACGGTTCGGTTCCGGTTTTCAATTCCGTTCCGGTTTAGCACTCTGCGATCGGCACTTAAAAAGGTATGAATATCACAGTTAACTGCTAAACCGTTTTAAGTTTTGGGGAAATTTCTCACCCTCAACTGCTTGATTGTTGTCTTCAAAATTACATTCATTGTGTTAAAATCAAGTTTCAAGCCAAAAACAAAATGAGAGCAAAATTGTAAAAAACGGAGTGCTGCCATCTGTTGGCAGAGCTTCAACTAAGCCACGAGTGAACCTGGTTTGTCTAACATGGTTGAGCGCGTGAATTGGAATAAACTAGACGAGCTATACTCGTCCTGAACAGTTCAGGGACGGCTCCACCTTAAAGGAGCTGTGCAACAATTTCAGGGCTTTGCTTAAATAATTGTGGAAGTTGATGCCTGACACTTCTGCAGTGAACTACAGAAAACAGATTTTGCCTGGATACCCTAGTTTTTACTTAAAAAAATGAAAAAGATCCAGGTTTTCGCCGCCTCTCAACTCGTGCATCGTCTTCCGGGTCACGTGCACAGTGACGTCACTAGAGTAGGCGCGGAGTTCCGGAAAAGTTCTCTCTTTAGAGCCATCAGCGAGCAGCGAGAACTCATCCGCTGCCGACCGCGTGACCACCCGTCCTTGCCCGTCCGGCGCTGTCCCCCTCCCCCTCCGGCTTCTGGTGGCTGTTCGCGGTTTTGTGGACCTAGGATAGATGGCGCCACTAAAACTCCGTATAATAAAAGTTTTGTCGATGATACCAGGGTGTTGACGCATTTATATATATGTTGGAACGACAAGATTTGTAAAAAGAGTTACCTTTTATCGAGCAGGTATTCGCACAACTTGCTATCTTTCTTACAACGACCCAAGTGACGTCACGCCGCTTGTTTCTCATGGCCGCCGCTCGTGGCTGCAGGTCGGGAAATATTCCAAGTTTTGCCTCGCTATTACGCGGCGGAATCGCAACATTGCGATGAAAGGAGGTGTGTTTTCTGCCATTTGTGACACAGTGAACAATATCAAAAGCAGAAAATGCCAATTCTTTCAACGTTAAAATCGTTGCACAGCTCCTTTAACGGTTAAGGGATGAATCTCCAAGCGAATATCGAATAGCATATTATTCTAAACTATTATATGAAAATTTGAATATTCGCACAATTCTACTATACTTCGTTTCACTCTATGATAAACCGCAGACGACGCTACAAGCCATTGAAGCAAATCCAGTGCCATGCATCACGTGATTTTTGGGAGGATGCAGCAACATGTGGGGCAATGTAGACACGTGACATCTTCGCAGTGCTGAATTGACTGGGACGGCTCGTAGCATCTGCTGTGGCTCACTGTAAGTTAAAACGCAGTATAGACTCGCAGTAACCATGCTCTGGAGCGTACAAAAAGAATCACTTTCTTTTTAATGAGTTCTTTGAAAGAAACAAGCATGAGTGAAACAGAATATAGAAAGGGCTATGGCATGCTGCTTTAGAAGAAACCGAGGATGAGTGTCATGAAATGAATGACCTTGAGATGTCTTATGTACAAGGCAGGTGGCTCCGGTAGTCTTGTGCACTGTCCCTTCCAAGCTTGCGGGAGTCTTCAGAGCGGAGTTTGGTGGTACCAATCACAAAATAAAACAAAAAGGGGGGTGCAGTGCCGTTGCATCTAATAGATGGTCCTGTTGAGCACTGCACTGTCGCACAGGTCCGCGAAGGATTTGTGGATCGCTCGGCACAGCGCACTGTTGGTGGGAAGCCTCTCTAGAAGCCCCTGAGAGTCCATGGAGGCGGTGCATTTCTCCAGCTGGTTAGCTGAGAAACCTGCAAGATGAACCACAATGTGCACACCTAACACTTGATACAGGCAACATTCCGATCCCAAAAAAAGAATGTCGCACACTAGTACTCTTCATGCTTGAGTCTACGCATTCACCTTTGATAGCTTGCAATTATTCTGAGTTGGTTACATGAAGTCAGGAGGGTCAGGTTCACTGCTTGGGCTAAATTAGACATTCTATAGTGTGGAAACATAAGACGTCTCAGGGGAGGATTTATGGGCCACGAAGTTAGACCTGACATCACAGATGGATGTGACATCATGGGCAAAAAAGCATTGGCCAAATCTATTTTTATGATCTATTAATTTCCATTCAACTAAAAACTAAACGTCTCTTCTATAAAAAAGAGAGCTGGTGTATGTCTTTTTTTTTTTATTAAAAATCACACTTGGGAGGCTTGAGGGGGGGGGGAGCAGCTCCCCGCCTTCCACTTTTTCTTTAAATCTGCCCCTGCGTCGTCTTTGAAAGCAGAATGCTTTTGTGGGCTAGTCCGCAAGTCTAGACGTCACAAAAGTTGTTACGAAAACATGACAACACGGGCGTACAATGATTATGTTGTTGGTGCCCCTATGGCAGTGGTTCTCAGTCACTAATGCTTTGGGGACCCCTCCTGGATCGGCAGAAGTGATGGAGGCCCCGTATTGTATTGGACGATTACAATGTCAAAAGTCAACTTTTAAGCAACTTTGAAGCTCTGGAACAGAGAATAATCAGCCCTAGTCACTTTGCATGCATGGTTTTGTCTATTTAGCTTTGTGGAATAGCCAGAATAAAAAAAGAAAAAAGCTTTATTGCTTGGCTTGATTGACATTCGAGGGTTTTGGAGACCCTAAGGAGATGTTAGGGATTTTAAAGAGTATGTGGAATACCATTTGAGAAACACTGCCCTATGAGTTACGTGCTCATGTGACCACATGATGCAACATTACGGTGTCGCTTGATGTTAGTGCTACATGATCATATGTCAAGGTCACAAGGTAGGCATAATGTGACCACATCATGCTGATGACGTCACATGACCACCGTCCGCTAAATTTAGCAAAAAAATATCCTACATCACCTTGTAATAACCCCTTAGTCTGCACTTTGCAAAATTAAGACTTGACATGCAGGATCAAAGTGTTTTAAGGCAGACCAACTTCCTGGTGTATAAACATCAACCATAAAATCTCGTAAGAACGCCTGCCCGAAATGAAGAGATAAATGGTGAAAAACATGAGGTGGGCTACCTTCGACAATGAGACAGCAAAACTCAGTAAAAATTAATGATAAACACCTGGGCACCCGCTACAAACCATGTGACATGGGAACTGATACCACAAATTGCAGACACGGCGAATTTGCGTTTCACGACGCGATAAACATGCAGGAATTCATTACGAACTCCTGTGTCACGGGAAAGGATACCGCAGATCCGTGTTTCATGGCGCAATAAAACACTCTTTAACTTACTACAAATTTGCGTGCCACTTGAACCGACATCACGTGCACAGGTCGCGGACAAGATACGCTGGAACCTACTACAAACTCGCATGTCAAGGGAACCGATACCACACACGCAGATGGCGAACGAAAACGCGGAAACCTGCTACGAATTCGTTTTCAACGCACACCGATACCACAGATGGTGTGGTTGATGCGATTGCTGTCGGACATCACGTCGACAGGTATGGGAGTTTGGACGATGTCTCAGAATTTTCATGTAATGAATATTTAGCCAGAAAAACGAGATGGACGACATTTCAGGGGAGGGCGTTCATACGGGATTTTACGGTATGCTATAAGTTACTGTAAGATTCAGAAAACACACTTGGTTTCATAAAATGGCAGTCCAAGCAAGACATGCTTCCTCTTGTGAACGGCAAAGAAAGTATGGTATCCACGCTTTTAAAAAACACGAATGTTGCAGAGCCTGCATACATTCTCGGTGAGGACATCAACCATGCAAACCGAATGGCTTTCCTCCTCCCTCCTTGCTGTTGACTCCTCCCCCTTTCTTGTTTCTTTGAGGTTGGGGACTGACAACAACAGAGGAGGTTTTGGCGACAACCAGCGGAGTGCGCGAGTGGCTGCGTCCTGCCCTACATCACGAGCCTGCTCCAAGACTCTGTCCAAGAATGTCCCGAAGCAGACCGAAAGTGAGGAGAAAGCCTCCACCTCCGTCCAGCAAGTGCTGTCCACAGTAGAAAGCATGTCCCGCGTGGACAGCCCTCTAGACGACTGTCCCGGCACTCCCGCCACACTTTTTACCACCCGGTAGTAGCTTCTCCCCGTCTTTAAAAAGGCCAATGTGGTCGGCTATTAAGCGAATGCTTCGAGGGATAATGGCGGTTCTAAGACTTATAAAGGTGAAGCAAGCCTCGTACCGAGCTGTGGCGGTGCAGCCGTGCACTCCTGGGAGAGGCAGACGCGTCCCAGCTGCAGCAGGAGCACGGCAACGTCTTCGGCAAGAGGAGGGAATGCGCGGCACATGCGCACCAGGGCGGGCAGTGCAGGCAGGAACAGCAGCGGACGCTGGTAGCTGGGCAGCACTGGGCACCAGACACGAAAACAAGGCGGCTTGAGTGGCCCAATGTGCACAGAGAGACCATAGGGCAGATTTATGAAACGGCTTTTCACTTCTGGTAAGCTACATTCCGCCACGTTGGCGAACGGTGTCCGCCAGCTTCCCTCTTAGTTTGCATGCTGAAGTATCCCAACTGGCTCCGTCGATGGCAGAACTCAGAAAGTATGACCGGGCACGCATGGGGTCTGCATAAACCAACGGTCGAAAAACTTTTTTTCCTATCCAAAATGGCCCCGTTGGCATCTACTGGGGCCGTTTTGGCCGACAACATGTCGAATTATCTGTTGCCGACTCATCTTAAGTTTAAATAAGACAGGCATGTATAAAAATTAAGTATCGACAGGAGTTTTTTAATGTTCCCTACTACCTTGACTGACGCTGTCAACGACAATGCAAAGGAAGTTTAGCGATCTAGAAGGCACTGCCCCTGCGCATAGACGTCGGGAAAAGGTTTACCAACATAGCGTTTAATGAGATTTCAAGCGTTATCGAGTGTAGGCAGCTCGCACCAAAGGTGACACGACTCGAGGATCTTATCCCCATCGTTCTAATCCTGTTGGAAAGAGATTTGGCAAAGCTACGGTGCCTCCGACGTTCTCGTCTGACAGCGGAGTTGTCGGCCGTTTGAAGCAAACTAAATGACAACTTCCATGTTCCACAGTGACGCGTCAAATTACACAATACAGTCCCGTAGTGAAGCCACATAGAATTAACCACAGTTCTGATTGGATTCGAAATATGAGTCTGCACCTTCTCTCCGTGGGTCACACACTGGAACAAACTCTTCTACCCTGCTCGTTGTGAATGTCACAAGGAGGAAAACAAGGCCTTGGCACAAACGACCCACGTGACCAGACGCAAGTCCGCCTATAACTCGTCCCGATTTGCTTCTCACACCGACAGGCACGTGCTGCACGTCGGTAGCACTGGTCGTAAAGTGCCAATGAGAGGGCATATTTCACAAAAATTCTCCGCTCTACTTTGCAATTCCGAACCTGGAGACCAGTCTATTCAGAGATGTGGCTTAGCGTTGGTTGGCTTCCGCTACAGATGCAACATCCTCGACAGATAAATAGAAGCATTTTTACCACGCCGCACCATCGGTTATTATTTTGTCCTAAAAGGCAGCTGAATTTCCTTCAGAGATGTATTTTTTAATTACTGCAATAAATATTCTGTATGACTGAGAAACTATGTTCCAAAAGGCAGGAGAGCGAGAGAATGCAAAAGTGCAAGGACCAACCTCCCAGCAGAGTGTGGGTGACGTTCACGCAGAGGCGGGCAATGCTGAGGGATTTTGCAATGGAGTACTGCAGGCACAAGTAAGATGCCAGCTCAATGGCAAACACCTGTAGAAAAAACACCAACACAGATGTTGAATGTTAGGAACAGTCACAAACATAAGATCCATCAGTGAAGTTCTGCATAATAATAAAGAAAGCATAAAATAATTACAGAACATATATTGGTTATATACAAGATGTTTTTTTAAAGCTCTACAGATATGTTTTGAAGAAGCCGTGAATGCTATTGGCGACGAGATGTTTTGGTGGCGTCACCTCGCGGGCGCCCTCCTGTGACGGAGCTGGTAGGATGCGAGCAGACGACGCGCTATGTCAAAGCACTGAGTGGATATGTTAATTTGTATTTATGCCAATTAGAAACGGCTTATTTATTAAGAAAATGTGTAAAACGTTTTTGTGAGTGATCTTTCGAATTAATAACAGTGCCTCAAAGTTGCTTTTTATATTAAAAATCTTAAAATGTTCAAAAACAAGCCTAGAGCTTCACATTTCAGCTCGCGCGGCGTGTGTCAGGGCTATTCACAACCTCCGCGATTCTATTTTTTTTTTTTCCAGATCTATGGAGGTTGTTGTGGAAAAAGGTTTTGCATTCACCAGAGTGAATGGCATATTGCCTTCTTAGCTGTGCACGCACACACAGTTGTGTTGCTAAGTGCCACACACTTTTTTAAGCTACATTGAGCTTGCCAATATTGACGCTTCTATCCAAGTCACGTGTGACTCGACAGTTGCTGACAAGAAAATTCTCTTCAGCACAAGACGCTTATTTCCTCTCGCATCAAATACGTGGTAAAGAAGTTTGTCACAATGGGACTTCTGCTTGAAAGAAAAGCAGAAATTTTTATAAATTCTCATACTGTCAGACATGACCCGGCAAAATCAGGCGATTGATCTATTTGTTCTGTCCAATTTTTACTAAGAATTGTTAACAAATTTAAAATCGCTCGCTGAGAAGTTGATCACACATTATGCGCACTTGGGTCCGCCAAATTAATCATACAAACTGTAGGAATTCATAGCCGGTGTATACCTCATTTTTTGAGACTCTGAAGTGTCACCGACTTACTAGATTTAAAACTTAGATCACGAGCGAGTCTCGCACGTTTTGCGTCGACTGGGTGAGTAAGCAGGGATCTAACTGAAACGACGCCGGAAGTCCGCCATCGCTTCTTCCTGCCAGTTATTTTAAGGAAATGTTTGTTTACTGGTTTACAAAGTCAAAAAGGAACCAACATGAAACTAATAAGAGACCAGCACTCACAAAACACATTGAAACTTGCAGAATACACAGAGTCCTTTTCATTGAAGTGTTTACTACACACGCAAGAGGTTCATGAATTTTCCTTTCCTATTTTCAGTTTGACAAGACATTCCTTTCTCGGCTTTATTTTGTTTGAATCATAATAAAAAATACATTCTATTTGCCGTGGTAGATGTAGGGGGTAAAATTCTGAATACTCTAGTTTCATCATCCAGCATTTTGTACAAGGGCAGAGGACAGCACACCACCATCCAAGCGCTTTGACATCTCAGTGCCAAAAGTGTTTGTTAGCACAGCTACACGGGCCACGATTCTAAGCTTTGGTAAAATGTCCTACTAGAAATATCACTTCATCAAATAAAGACAATGCGTGAAACGGACTTTGCCGTGCATTACCCAAACAACGCATGAGGCGAGCTGGAGAGCCGAGGGATCCAAGAACTGCGCGGTCTGTCCCAGTCTGTCCCACCCGTGATGTCACAAACAATGATGATAGCTAGAGGAGCGCACCCTGTAGTTTGCGCACGCCATCAATACTAAAGTGGTCCGCGCAGGTGAGTTATACAACCTGGGGAACATAATATAGGGGTATAATCGTCACGATTAGTCGGTTAATTAACAAAAATTGTTCTAATTAACTTTTTAATTATTGGAGATCAAAATACGGTTCCAATTAGAAACTTACTGGGCACCGCATAAAAATTCTGAGGACACCTAAGCACTTCATATGAGTTATGAATCTGAAAGCATGAATGTCGTTTTTCCGCTCCCTTAGTACGTCTGCAGTGTACTGGAGTGGACGGCCACATTTTGGTACTGCCAAGGTTGCAACCGCCGATGATATAGATGTCTCAGGCGCCACCATGTTCCTCAGCATGAGAGCGGCGGCTGAACGCGCGCTCTTATGAAGCGGCTGCCAAGGCTATCAGGAGCCATTTTGCTCAGCCAATGGGAGAATGGGCATTTCTTTAGCGTTTTTTTACGGCTCTGCTCCATGGGATAGTTAAAGCTTTCGCATTAATAAAACCACTAAATATATGAAGATTTGGGGCACGTGGGAAGGTGGTGGTGCAGAAACATGCCCCTGTAATGGTTTGAATGTTATTTCTACAAATATGATTTATTAAACTGATCAATTACATTGTGAATTTAGCTGCGGACTAATATTGTGTCTGCTTTGGCCGCTCTCCACAAGGAGCCCCTTCCCGAAGAGCAACAAGAGACGACCTGGGAATATCGGCCGGAGCGGACGCAAAATCAGTCTGCCGCAGAATTCACAATGTAATTGATCAGTTTAATAAATTATATGTGTAGAAACAACATTCAAACCGCTATAGGAAATGATGTTTCTACACCCGCATGAATATTTTGTCTCCTTTCATCCACATTTCCATACCCCAGCATTGTGCCCATTGCACATGTGGTAACTTTAGTGGACCATTGTGTTTCCCACGTGCCCCACACCTTTCTAAACTTTATCTGTTTAGTGGCTTTCGACGATGCTCAGCAAGTTTCTAATAAAAACCAAATGTTTACTTTCACTAATTAAAAAGTGAATGGACAATTTTTAATTAGTGAACCGACTTACCGTGATGATTATTCTCCTATATTATGTTGCCCAGACTGTGTAACCCACCTGTGCAAACCCAATAGTGTAGCTTTTATGTATTGTTTTTTTTAACAAATTTGTAATGCTTACAAAATGAACACCCTGTATGTTATATATCTAACCCCAAACCTTTCTGGCCCCTCTCGTCTGCTGAATACAAGACTTAATAGCATTGTCTGGGCTCTAAGGGGTTCTCCTCTTTGTTCCCTATTACACTTGTGAGTCTGTTTTATTCACAGGTGAGCTTTTCTTCTGGCACTTAACTTAAACAGATGCAAAAAGCTTGTTCTCACAGCCTTTGCTCCCTTACTACTTTAAGGTTAAATAATGTACACCGTCACTGCCCCCAATGCTCTTCCTAAAAGTGCCAAGCACCAGGGTCAGCAATGTGGTCTTTAAGCACAAGTCGATGACAAGAAGAGAGCGACAGAAATGTCCTTCAGTGGTATCACCTAGAGTCACTGAATGTTTCCAGAGTACACTATAACATTCTATAGCATCTGCTGTGACTGTTTAATTTTAGATTTTATCGGCCATTTCGGCACCAAAATAAATACTGTGGAAGGGGTTTCACGGATGCCAACTCCCATCTTCCAAGTGGGCGCGCCGTGAATTACCAACTAAGTTAGGACGCGCCCAGGTCAGAATGCGCTACCTGAAATCACCAGTGAGACATGGTTGTATAAAAACAACACTAATTGTGCCGCAACACCCTGTAAATTATTGTCTTATAAAAACATCACACTCCTCTCTTTTTGCACTAATCTCCAATAAAAGTTCCTATACAAAAATAACTTTTTCAGTTTGTTTTTACGCAAAAACATGCTTTCTAAACGCTCATAGTGACCACAATAAAATAAAAAATAAATCTTGAGCCGCCATCTTGGCGCCATCAAGCCTGGGAGTTTTGATATTCTGAGAACATTCAGTGGCACTTGTCCCGCCTACCTTTGATGACGCTTCATGCGTCTTGCGAGCCTCAAGCCTGCTTGCGCTGCAGTTTCACCAAAAGCTCTTTCACCTCCTGTCAGCCATCTTCCGGAGAGTTGATGAACGGCGTCCGCCACCCTCCCCATCAGTTTACACGCAGACGATCAGTTATTGGAAGCGTTTCTGTTGTCGGTCAAACGCACGAGCGTGGCAGGTGGCTCCGTCGCTGACAGAAATCGGTAAGTGGGACCGGGGACGTATTTGGGCTGCGTAAACATATCCCTACTCCGTTTTCCTTCCTTTTTGAGTCGCCCCGGGAGCGTCTACCGGAGACGACTTGGCTGCCGACGGGTCCACTTCTCGATCGACGGCTCGTATTAAACCAGAATAAAGACTCATATTAATAGAAATCCAGTCCAGGTCCTTTATGTTTCCAACTACTCTGGCTGGTCCAGTCGATCACGACGCAAAAGAACTCCAGCTATCAGGAAAACACTGCCTCCGCCGTATAGAAGAATGCGCAAAAAAAAGTCCATACACGTGGCGCGTCCGGCGAGATTTCTAACCAAGAGTAAAATTTACGTGAAACTGCCCTATAAACTCTTTTCGTTTGACAACCCGGGATTCAAATCAGGCATTCGTATCTGTCTCCCAGGAATCTTGTAGGGCCCCCTCACCTGCTTCTCCAGGTGCGGCTGGCTCAGCAGCTCGGGAATGAAGTCCAGGCAGATGTGCATCGAGGGAATCAGGGACACGGACACTGGGAGGAGCTCGCTCGGGTAACCCTGCGGTAAAGCATCGACGCTTTGACTTCGGGCACAAACCAACGCTGCATTTGTTAATAACGCGCGTGGCTCGAGACGGGTATTGTTAAGATAGGTTTCTAGTCTATGATGAAACATCCTAACTGCCATGGAGAGAAAGGTGCCCGAGCGACCCTGCTTAAGAAAAGCTCGCAAAAAGCGCTAGAAAAAAGCAAAAAAAGAGAAGGGCTCTGAACTTGGAAAAATTTGGGGCGGGTGGCAAGAGCGTCTGGAGCCCCATTGAAGAAGTGGTTAGGTCCGTGCCTCTGGTGTGGGTGTTTGCTACGTTTCATATGCTCATTCACTCATTAACCTTTGAGGGACGTTACATAAAAGAGGCAATACCATAAAACACTTAATGTTTGCACGCCCTTAATTTCTGCGAATCGAAAAATTCGCTAAGTTTAAGGGGATGCGAAAATTTTGGTCCTTATGTGTTTCAATGCAGGCGTTTGGAATACACCAAATTTAATGGCCACGATTATGTCCTCTATGATCGGTTCGTGGAAAATAGGGGCAGCAAAAAGAAGTTTTACGGTGCTACATAAGAAAAAAAGGGAAAAATATTCAAACATATTTTAGAAATAAGCGAAGTGCTTATTTCGCTTAGCGAAGCGAAGCGAAATAAGCGACTCTGATTGAGAGTGCTACGGGACAAAACGGAGACACGGTCACCGTGCCGTAGCACAATGTACAAAACCAATGAACCTTTCTACATTACCTGGAAGTGGACCAGCCTGACCAGGTTGGGGTCCGAGATGAACACCTGGTGGAGGTGGGTGCAGACCAGCGTCTGGACCTCGCGCAGGTCCGTCAAGAAGCCGTCGTCCTTCATCTGTACGGAGCAGATTGGAACCATTGCTTTACTCCGTCGTAGCTAAACAAAAATAGGACAAGATGTTTCCGCGAAGCTTTCCACCCTTTGCACTTTAGCAGAGCAAACACTGGAGAGGAGGCGAATCCACTTCCTCCTCTCTGGCATTTGCTCTGCTAAAGTGCAAAGAGGTGGAAAGCTTTGTGGAAGGAGCTTGTCCCGCTATTCCAAACCTGCAACAGAGTGTAAAAAGGACTGCCAACGCAATCTGGTAGACATGAGGTAAAGCAGTATTCGCACGAGGCAAAAAGCTGTTGAATTTCTGTGCAAAGCTGCATTGTGCGATGAAAACGTTGTGATGGGTGCTGTAATACGGCACTGTGACGTCGGCTATCCAGCGGAAGAGTAAAAGAATAGTACTCATGCTAACTAGTTGTGCCCAAATTTCAGACTATTTACAACCGCTCAACCGGGGCCAGTGGCATAGCCAACGGAGAAAGAAGCTTATGGGGCTCTCCCCCCCCACATCTGAAAGCAGGGACACCCTAATAAACACCCGCATTTTGACCCCCCTCCCCACCTCCACACCCCAAGTCATATTTCCTGGCTATACCACTAGTTCGGGTCACGTTTTTGAAGAGCCGTGTTTGCCATAGAGGCTGTGAAGAGGTGACGAAAGCATCGATTGTCTGGAGGCATCTCCGCCTCTCAATCCGCTCACCTCCTCGCCACACGACGACGCAACGCACGTGCATCTGCAACCAATCTGTGCAGGTGTCTGCCATTAAATTAGGAATGCTCTCTATGGTCTGCGTTGCTCTCTCTCTTAAATCGAGGCTCTCTAGCTCAGGCGGTAGAAACAAACACCATCCGGTGGCGGATCAGTTTGCTTTTAACAATATTTTGTCGTCGAAAGCTTCGGTACCGACAGCGAAAACTGCTGAATTTGACCACTAACGCCGACACCCTTCCTAGCCGGCAACTCGTCCATATGAATTACAGAGCCGAGGAGGGAGATGCACTTACTGCCACTCACGCGCGTCCCTCCGCGAATTTTTCTCGCACGCAAACGCTGCTTTGACGACGGTGCATTCTCCCCCATGCTGTAATGTCGTGACCCCGACTCCGGACAAGGTTTGACACGCTCAACATTGGTCAGCGCCTAAACAGGCCGCTTTTTAGGTTTCTCTCTGGCCGCCTAAGCTTCCGAGCACCTCCAAGCTGGAGAGCAAGCTTCAGCAGAACAGGCACCCGCCGCGTCCACTGCCGCCGCTACGACACCACCGGGGTTGCAACCGACAGCGACGTGACACTTCTTCGAAGTTGTTGGGCAGAAACCGAGAGACTGCCTTCGAGGATGCGGCGTTCAGGGGTGCGTTCTGGGCACCCTTGCAGCAGGCACCCACCTTTTCGGCCTCAGTGGGCAGGCAACACTCGAGCAGGATCTGCACGGCAGCGCTCTCCTGGGCGGCCACCAGGGCGAGTCGGAGGTCCTCCCGGTCCTTGTCAGCCTCCGCGGCCGAGCCCTTCTCCCCGGCCACAGGGTGCTCCAGCTGGTGGTGGCTTAGGTGGGTGCGCGAGGCTGCCAGCAGGGCGCGCAGCATGTGCAGCACCAGCTCCAGAACGGGGGCACACCTGGGTACCGGGGGGAGGGGTTAGCTACGGTATTGTTCCAAAAGGTGGGCCCCCCTCCCCCCATGGAGCAAATATGGGGTGGAAAAGAGCGATGGGCCAACTCTCGGCCCATAACCTCAGAAGAAAAGCAGAGGAAAATTGCTCACCTTGGTTCCTCGTCCACTCGTGTTCATTATATAGAAAATGTTCAATAGTGTTTCTTTCTCATTTTTTATTATCGTTATATTGGTCATGCAGTTTATTACAAACATAGGAGACTTTCGGAACAATGCAACTGTCCTACTTCGAGTTGAAGATGTGAGCAAGATATGATAATTTTGCATAATAAATGCCTTCGTTGATTAATCAATTGCCCCAATCTCAAGTCCTCCATTCATGCTCACATTCCAAAGACAGTTTTGCTAGTTTCTCCTACTTTATCTGAACGTTAATCAAGTCATCTCAATTAGCCCCACCGCTCAGATATAACACTCGTGGAGATATAATAATCTTGCATAGTAAATGCCTTTGTGGATTAATCCACTGCCACAATCTCACGTCATCCATTCGTGCTCTTGTTCCAAAGCCAGTTTTGCAAGTTTCTCCTACTGTCTCTGAATGTAAATCAAATCATCTCAAATAGCCCCATTGCTCACATATAACGCTTTTACAACACTCTTAGTACAATGGATGCTAACATTTTCAACTAAATTTTTAATGCAAAAGCATTAAAATTTTAATGCAAAAGCAAAAGTTCTCGCATGGATACAGTCTTTTTTAACTCAACGGTCTCAATTTGTCACTGTGAATAACAATAACTCCTCTTTTGTCAAAGTTGCGTCAGGGGTTCCACAAGGGACAGTCTTAGGGCCGTTGCTATTCTTAATTTATATTAACAACCTACCCACTTATCTCTCTTCATCCGTGTCTCTGTTCGCTGACGACTGTGTACTTTACCGTGAGATTCTCAATCATAATGACACCTGTATACTCCAATCAGACATTAATGCTATTTACCGTTGGTCTGACTGGTGGTCCATGAAGCTTAACACTAACAAATGCAAGACCATGCGTGTGTCTCGCCAGTCTCAGGACTGTCCTAACTATTTCCTTAATAATGCTCATCTAGAACCGGTATCTTCGTACAAATATTTAGGCGTACATATAGCTTCTAACCTTTCATGGAAAACACATATTCAGCATATTTCAGCTAACGCTAACCGCATGTTAGGTTACATCAAGCGAAATTTTTCATTAGCCCCTGTCTCACTGAAATTAACTGTTTACAAAGTTTTAATTCGTCCCAAGTTAGAATATGCAGCTTCTGTCTGGGATCCCGGACTAGTCACTCTCGTATCTACATTGGAAGCCGTTCAGAACAGATCCGCTCGTTTCACCCTCACAAACTATCACCGCACCCCTAGCGTCACCTCTATGGAAACAACTCTCTCATTACCACCTTTATCCCTACGTTGTAAAATTTCTCCGTCTTTCCCTATTCCATAAAATGTATCACCATAATTCTTTCCTGCGCGACAAAATAATTGCTCGGCCTGTCTATGTTTCCCCCTGTCTTAATTATCAAAATAAGGTGGACATTCCTAACTCTATCACAACCACGTTTTATTCATCTTTCGTTCCCCGTACATCCCAGGAGTGGAACCACCTTCCCCGGTCGATCGCCATTATCACGGACTCTAAGCTCTTTAAAAGTACAATAACTAATTACTTTATTACTGAGTGTGTCTAAATATGTATTATGTTATTTGCATTAACCTTCTTGTTGCTCTCCCCCTCTGTAATGCCTTCGGGCCCTGAGGGTATAATAAATGAAATGAAATTATATGAAATTAACTGTCTTATGAAGCAAAGCGGGCATTGTCTGTAACCGTCTGTAGCAAAAAAACGGCACCTAAATTCCCATTCCCAATAAAACACAAAGAAAAGCACAGCAAATCGGAAGTTCTCCAGAAATAAGATACAAAGAAAAGCTCAGCAATGCAATGCTTCATCACGGAAGCTGTCATGAAGCTGGCAGGGTTTGCCGCGCCTGCGCAGTGGGGGAGCGTGATGGCACCGCCGGAGCGCCGTGTGCAAAAGGAAGACGTGGCGCTTTGCTTGTGGGAATGTGCTGTGCGTAAAAAATGCTTTTGCATTCCTACATGTAAGAGTGTAAAGTGTCTCTGCCGAATTAATTTTTTTTCACCATTTAAGTTGCTTTTGACTAATTTGCAATCTCATTGTTTGTGCATCGTTACCAAGGTATCGGCTGTTCATGAGCACAGAAAACAAACAAATGAATGAATGAATAGTAACTGACAAAGTGAAAACGGCAGGGCATGTTTTTCGAACACCTTGCCTCCAACAGCTCGTCAGCGACTGTAGCTGCCCTAGAGAGTGCCAAGAACATTGCATTATTTGAAGGACAGAAATGGCCCTCCCCACTGCACAAATTGCCTGAACCCAGATAGTCCGATTCCTAAGTGGGGGTTTCCTTTATTGTACATATTCTATAAGAGAAAACTGGACAGAAAGCAGGGGTAAGCTGCCTTTTAATGCGACAGCACTAAGGAGCTAGTGTCGCAGAAAAGCCAGCTTGGCATCGGCATCAGTGTCGGTGTCGGCGGAACGAGTAAATCCTGGTTGGTCGTTAGGGTCGTGATGTCACAGCCACATGACTAGCGTGGGAATTTCAAACAACCCACAACACTCACGTGAAGCAAGACACGTGCAATGAAAGCGATTAAAACGCGACATGTAATGCGAATTAAAGGTCACTGCGTGTCTCAAATGATTCCACTTAAGTTCGAAGAATTTTAGGCGGCGGCGGGTTTCCAACTCACGAACGTTCGGTCGTGAGCCAGACACGCTTGCACACCTTGGGAACGAATGGGGGTTTATATGCTTAGCTATCGCGTTCCACTCTTAAAGGCGAAGCTTACGTGTCCCTGTAATTTTGGGGTAGGCCATCTCCAGATGCTATTGCAAGCTATACACCGAATGAGTGTGTAAATTGCGTGGTCGTTCTGAAGCTGCAGAAACATATGGAATAAAAAGGTCGAACACCTCTAATACCCCTGAGCCAACTTCCAAACTAAAATTTCCAAAAACTCCAAAGTTCAATTCGGCACCAATATGGTGTCTGGAACGCGTCTCTGACCAATGTGTTTACCGCATCTTTGAAGACGGTCCCTCGATTTTCATCCGATGATGTCACAAAAGTGTCCCGCTCTTGCCTGCCGCGAATCCTGGCACAACAGCAGAAGCGAGTGTGGTAGGCACCTGTTCCACTGCGGGTTGCTCTCCAGCTTAACGGCCCACGATAGATTTAGAAGCTGGAAGTTGGAACACTGCAACGATGGCAGCACTTACAGTCACTCGCCCTTTTTTCCGGAACTTGTATGACCAACTGCCACGATTGCGACGACCGACGGAACGTCACGCCACCCCCCCAGACATTATTCGTTGCCACTTTGGGACCACTTTCCACGCACTGGCGGTACAGGACGCTAAAAACACCGGTCGACGGCGGCATGTTTTGGGCGCTGCAGTGCAACTAAGACTCCGGAAATTTCGGTCCTCGTGGGATTGAGCGAGCAGAACCCTTTCGAATGGTCGGGGAGCAGGCTGACCTGAAGACGCGCTTGTCGCAGCGCAGGGCGTGCAGGGGGTCCAGCACCAGGTCGTCGAGGGTGAGGGGGCGGAGGCGGCTGTGGCAAGGCAGCCGCAGGGCGTTGGCCGTCAGCACCCACAGGCGGCGGGGGAACACCTCGTTCAGGCGCCACCACACCTGCTTGGCACGCTCCATCACCTGGGGACAGAACGGTGCACTCAAGGGAGTGCGGGGTAATCGTGCGAAGTGCATCGAGAGCCCCAAGTTGGAGGCTTAACCCGTTGCATACCAATTTTAATGCAGAACCAGTTTTACGAGTCGTTTTATATGAGAAAATTGTCACAAGGGAGCGACACGCTGTGAGCGTTATGGACATTAAGGTTACACATAAATTTTATATATAAAGTTCGAGCTCCGGCGAACTTGGATCGGTGCGGTCGGAGTTGGATCCTATAGCCACTGAGCGACTAGCACAGCTTGCCTGGAAGGATAAATGACTATATTTGAATGCAAACACGGAAGTGAGAGTGGCAGGCTTAGGACGAAAATAATAAAATAAATAACCAAATAAAAAATAAAGCAAAAATTAATTTATCAAATTAAATAAGCAATACAATAAAATGAACTAAAGAACACAATAAATAAATAAATATAATAAAAATAAATGACAATACAACAAAATAAAAGCAGGTAATAAAATGATTGAAAAGTCTTGCACAAACCACACACAGAGTGTGTGGCTTGTGCGGGACACAATCTTTGCACCCTGGTCAGATGCTTAGTTTTAAGGGCGAAGCTTCTTAGGGTCTAGCCTTGTCCTGCGTCCGTGCTCACATCGATTGCACTGCCTCCGGGATCGGCCCACTTAAAAAAAAACAACATACACATACGGGGGTTCCAACTGAGGACCGCTTGCTTACGAGGCAGACGTCTTAACCACTACGCTACACTCCAACGTTGCATGTGGCCACTCAAAGTCCATAGAGGAGAGGGCGCTGCGGTCAAATGCGTATATAATTGTGTTAAACTTTGCATGCATTGGCTCAACGTTTATAGACGAGAGGGCGCTGCGGTCAAATGCTCAACTCCGTATATAACCACGATCCATACCACACATTCTCTTTCTGACATGGATCGTTGACTTAAGCGGTGGAGATGCGTTCCCACGGCTTCTAGTGGATCCAAGCTCATACGCTAGAAGAACCACTGGCTCTGCGTTTCACCGACCATAAAGCAGTAATAACGAGGTCGAAACGCAACCCGGAACTCAGCACTACCTATGAGCAATAAAAAAAATCAGCACCATCAGCACTACCTATAAACAATAAAATACCGTAAGTATCATCAGCACCACCAGAACTTCGCCCCAATCAACATCATTCACCACGTGGAGATGTTTCATGTGGGTGAAATGCGCAACCGTAACAAGTGGCTTCGTTGACAAGAGAGTGCAATAAGTATGACTGGGGATGTATTAGGACCCCATAAACCCAGAATTACTCCACCTTTTTTTTAATTTCGGAGTTGCCCAGGAGGCATCTGAACAATATTTTGGCCACAGACGGGTAAACTTCTCGATTGTAGGATTGTCTTTAGTCCGAATAATGACAAAAGTAATGATATACAAAATCGAGCACCAGCCGATGCTGTTTTACGCTCCTGACAACTCTGCCTGGTGCAGTTGACCGTCACACGAAAGAACTTGATCGAGTTAGAAAGCATTGCCTCTGCACATGTAGCCGCACGGCAAAAGCTCGTCAAGACGGCTTTCGGCGGGATTTCAAGCCGGACGTCCGTCACGCGAAACCACCGCACGGGGAGAAGGGTGGCTTGCCTGTCTGGGACTGCCCTCCTGGAGCAGCAGGGGCAGGTGGGAGATCAGGGGCTGGGCATAGGGCCACAGCTGGTGCAGGGGCAGAGTGTTCAGCCGGTCCAGCTGGGACATCAGGTCGATGGGGCACTTGCGCAGGCTGCAGAACGCTGCACCGGGAATGGTTGGGGTGGGGGATCTCAAGTACCAATCTCCTCCAATCTGCTACAATCACCGACAGAATGAGAACAGCAGGGCCCGTCTTTCCGATGCCCTACCTCTGGCGCGTGGTCCGTGCCCTCCGCTGTGCTTTGGCTGCGCGTTCGAGGTATGTGAGACACCAGGGCCGTAACCAGGGCTGGGGGGGGGTTAGGGGGTTCTGACCCCCCCCCCCCCGAAATTTTTTTCTGGGTACGGCCCTGGTCGGTGCACTTGCAGCCAGCCGATTTTAATCTCCACCTCTGCGCACGCGAAGTGGCGCCGGTCGGCTACCGGGTACCAAACCGGGACCGGTTCTCCAGTTTGCTGCAACTCTCCATTATATGCCACCGATGCACATGATTCATAGGCGAAAATAAGACAATAGACACTTTCAAAATGGCCGCCATTGTCCCCGAAAACCCCCCCCCCCCCGAAATTTTTTTTCTGGGTACAGCCCTGTGAGACACCAAGGCGTCGTTGAAGGTAGGAAGCTCGTACAGGAGTCGGGACCACTGATAGATTTTCCTAGGACCCTAATCTACACGCAGGACCAAGCGGTACCAAAATATCCCTCCTGCTGCGATTGGCCAGCTCCGCACAACTGACCGATCGCAGCAGGCGGCGAAGTTTCGGTTCTGCCTGGTCCCCCCGTATAAATTAGGGCCCTTCCTGTTCTCATCCTGTCAGTGATTGTGGCACAGGGGTTCTCAAACTTTTCTGTCTCGAAGAACGCCCACCTAACTCAAAGGATAGCCGAGCATCTCTTCCCGGTTTCGGCATTACTGCGATGAAGTAGCATAGAGGCCGAGAGACCTTCAAAACCACGACGTGCGTAACTAAGGACTGTCTGGCACTTATGCATTGATGGGAAGGCCTCAAACTTTGATTATAGAGTCTAAATTGTAGAAAAAATGAATTTAGGATTTAGAGACTACCCAAGAAATTTCGGACCTCGAGGAACCCCGGAGGACCCCTCTAGGAAGCAACTGGAATCCTAGGCACCCGGTGTTCTTTCGCAATTTTTGCAGAACTTCTACGCCCAACTGCCGGTGCGACGCTCCAGCTCCTGCGACGTCAATCATCGCCACTTTGGGACAGCTTTTCATGCACGGGTGAAGTGGGACGCCAAATGTGCCGGTCAGACGCGCGTTCCGAGCGCCGCGCTCTCCGCCCTCCCCGTGTGAACCTACCCTGGGACAGGCCCTGCACGCTGCAGGGTGCCCGGGGGCCCACCCGGGGCCCAAAGCGCCTCTGGGGCAGGGAGGTGACGGCCCCGCCTTCCCCCCTGAGCCAGTCGTCCACCATGCACAGGTGCGGGTGGTGGGAGGCCAGCAGGCGCAGCAGCGGCGGGAACAGCCCCGCGTAGCGCTCGTCCCGCTGGGCCGTTGTCACCAGGTACCGCATGGGCAGCTGCGACAGGAAGTCCGCCCCGTACCGCTTCACCTGCGAGCAACCCCAAAGTCGACCGTTGCATTTGTACCATATTTTAAGGGTTATAAACTTATAGTCTGCACCCACTGTATAGTCTGCGGGGCAAATTTGGGGCCAAAAATAAATGGTCATCTTTTTATACATTATTTTCAGTTTACTGATGGTAAAGAAAAGGAAGAGGTTCGAGCGCTTTGAACACATTTTTCTCCGTTGTCTTTTTGGCCTAAATTTCACTTAAAATGGAACCAAAGGAAACCATCTGCCGTTTTTGCGCTTCAGACTAATGACGTCAGCTCGCTCCATGAGGCAGTTAATGCTTTCGCATTAAAAATCTATCGTTTTAGTATGAAACTATCGTGAGACTTAATTTTTGCGGCTTATAGACCGAAATTTTATGAAGCTGGTTACAATGAACTTAGATATTGCATATGAATGTTCCTTTATTACGAAAAATTGTAAATTACAAAACTAGGTAAATGTGAATTTTTTTTTTTTTTTCGTAAGAGGCGTTACGAAGCCACGAGGGCGCTGGGTGATGGGACATTAAACTCCTGGAGCACTAGACGCTGCTCAGGGAAAAGTTAGTTTTTTCGTGTTGTTCAAATGGAGCATACCGCCTGTCCTCTTTTGTCTTTTTTTTTTGTTTGAATCACTTTTCGACTGCCTAGACAAGCGGAAGAAGGAACCCACTTTGCGCCCCGAGGTCACGATGGCCTTCATGTTGTTGAGTCGGGTGTCTTCGTACAGCAAGAGGTAATAGAGTAGCAGAAGCTGGGGGACCATCAGGCCGCTGGTGTCGTCCCGTGAAGTCACGCAGCCTGCGCACACAGAGCGCGCACAATATCAACTGCTTCCCCAGGGGAGCAGAGTTTCCAACAAAGTTCCAAGCATTATGCCACATTTTCCGAACTATAGTCCGGAGAGGCAAACTTCAGGCAAAAAAATTAGGTTTTTTTAAGATTGTCAGCACGCGGCCCATAATCCGCACCCGTTACATGGATCGCACGTAAAATTCTCATACACGGCACATGTATAAAAATGCCAGCCTGATTAGCAAACGAAAAAGCTTGTTTGTATCACAAAGAAATTATTGTTAATGTAGGCTACCTATCACTCATAAAATTCCTAACAACTCATCAAAATAAACAATTAAGGAAACTAATCCTTGCACAGTCCGCACCGGTAGATAGTCTGCACTATGTACAATTCAATCTTTCAAACATGTAATATAGTTTGCAGACTATAGTCCAGGAAACACAGCACATATCTAGAAAAGAAAGTACAACTCGTATCTAAGAAAAGATTACCACCAGAAAAGTATGAGTAACATCTTTAAAACAAGGCATAGCGATGCACCCCTCTGGATGGAAATGTTACCTCCTCCCAGAATGCAGGGATGTTACATAAAACACTACGGGGTAAGAAGAGAACAAGAGCAAAGAAAAAGGGCACCCCAGGCAATGTCTCGAAAGGTTTCCAGCATTGCACCTAGGGAGAACTCTTTGCACGACAATGGTGGATCAAGAGCGAGGAAAACACTAAGACCTGAAGTAGTTGTCAGTGAAACGTTCCATTGGTATATTGCTGTTGTAGTAACTCGAGAGCACCTGAGAATATTATGGTGGCCCTAACCTCCAAAAATGACGGCCATTTACTGCTGTAAAACTTTCCAGCTCACTTTTAGAAAAAAAAAATAAAGAAAAAAAAGTTTGACAGAAAACAATGAAGCATGTGCAAAGAAATGACACATACAGACGCTTTTTTTTTTCTCAGCATGCTGCCATTTTTTTTTTGTTCTTTGTGTGCTTTACCAAACAAACTTAAGTAAAACAAGTCAAGCAGACGCAGAGCAAACTGTACGTTGTGAATTTTTGTACAGTGAAAAGTCGGTCTGCTCTTGAGAAATGATAACAGCTTAAAAAGAGCAATTTAGTCAATGCATTACGACCACCAGACTGGTGCCTTTAACGCGCATTTCGCGGTACTGATTACGCATTAAGAGATGGTCCAGGCCACCCGGCAGGTTACCAGAATGTCAACCTCACCAGGTATATCTATATTATTCGAGACCACGCCCAAACAAACAAACAATTCAGATGTGTTTTAATCCTATAGTCGAAGTAGGGGCACATGTATGCAGCAGGTTTCGAGTTGCCCTGGGGGTGTTTGTTTGCGAGCATTTCTGGACTCAAAAGAAGTCCAGCGTGCTAATCAAAGGCGCTCTGCTATGGATAGATGTCAAATTACCAAGCGACAGGTTGGCAATTCAATTCCCGCTGAAGGATGCAGCCTCTTATAGGGACGACTGGTCACATTACCATAATTTAGTGACAACATTTCATGACGCTCAAAGGCCATGGGTTCTCAAACTGGGCTCCTGGAACTGCCGGAATTCCCCTGGAGATCCTCCCGGGTTCCCAAACTCCCAAATTTCTTAAACTGTCCCTGCTCCTAAATAAAATTAATTTTCAGTATGAAGCATATTTTTAGCCAATCTGAGCCATCCACTGATGCATAACTCCTACTCTATAAGCAATCTCGCTAGCTGCATGCAGCGATACCAAAGGTACGGATGTGAGAGCGTTTTCTCCCCGTAGTAGATAAACCCCTCACTCAAAATGCATAAAAACTAAATTTCCTCTTTCTCCCACCCGTGGCTTCCGCAACAGTGTGTACAATTAGTGAGATGAAGCATAGACTCGAAAACCAGCCTTAAAGCACGCGTCAAAGGCGACACCCTATCCGCTCACCGGTCCCGGCAGCATGCTTGCCTTGAGTGCCGTTGGCGGCCCCGTCCTGCAGCACCTGACCGAAGACGGAGGCGATCTCCTCCTCGGACAGGGGCTCGTTGGTCGTCTCCTGGGAGCCCTTGCAGCTGGGCACGATCACCGAGTTGACGTACACCTCCACCAGGGCAGGCAGGATCGGGTGCAGCGGAGGCACGCTGGCGCACAGCTGCTTCAGCACCCACTCCTTGATGCGCACCTGCAAGGGCAGAGAGCTGCGCCGTTAAAGGCTGTCGCCTGCTGCGAACCTGGCGGTGTTGTGGCAGCGGCGGCGGATGTGGCAGATTCCTGCTCTGCTGCGGGTCGCTTTCCAGTTTGACAGATCACAGGAGTTTAAATAGCTGGAAGTTGCGACTATGTGACAATGGCAACACTCGCATTCTTTCACATTCTTCTCCAGATGTTCGACACCAAACTGCCAGGTTGGGTGTAGAAGTTTTGCCATTCTTTGTTGCAATATTTCAACAATGCTACGCTCTGCTTCTCCTAAAAAGTCCCCATTTGGGCCAGGTGCTATTATTTAATAAATACCTAAAGTAAGATTCTCCCGGAACTCCGCCTACAAACGTGAACGAGCAAAGATGCTGAAACCATCGACGACGACTACGTCCTTGAAAGTTGTGTGCAGATTTGTAGATTTGTTTTCAAATGCAGGTATCGGGAAACATGCAATAAGAATGTGAGCACAAGGTTCTGGACTCACCCGGTGCTTGGTGAAGGCCCTGCTCTTGAGGAGCTGGTAGATGCAGTGTACGGGCAGGAAGCCTGCCGTGTTGGCGTTAAGGTTGGGTGTCACCGCCACCTTCACCGCGTGGGCCGTCACCACCTGGGTCCGGCAGAGACTCTTTCACTCAGTGCTTTGCACGGGGCATTTTGAAGACAACTTTGCAAAACCGGTGAGGCAAACTGGGGAGTACAAACAAGACTCGCGAAATTCCCGAAGTATATCACAAAAGAATTGTGCTTCCCAGAAGTGAAATTACGTGAGCATGAGCTCTCTACCTCGCTTCAAAGTCGGCCAGCGAGAGGTGCAATGCGTATCGTGCTTGTGACGTCAATAGTTATCGCACAGTCAAGGGTACTGTAATGCAAACGTTGCCGCTTGGTGGCATCAACATGTGAAAATCTCGCCTAGTAGTAACATCCAAGGACTGTACGCCCATGGCCTATACATGGCTTGTCTGTAACATCATTTGCGGCCATGCCGGTATCTTATGCGCCACGAGCGTTCACTTCACCGTGTTAGTTTCACACCGCGGAAGTAGGGGCTCGAGGGAACTAGCCAGTAGAAACAACCGTCAGTATTGGCGTATGTTTGGCCTGACCGAGGTCCCCGCATCCTCAGATCAAGCTCCTACTTAACGTCTGCAAAGAACGGCGATCTCAATGATGTAGAATGCACGTTGCAGAAGAACTGTGGAGCTGAGACTGCAGCCAATGCCACAACCATGAGAGCTTGAGGTCGCTGCTTTGAAGCGTTGTTCCACAGGACAATCGAGCACTCGCGCTAGAAATGCACGTCTCAAAGCCAGGAGCGCGGGCTGACTCGCGCTTGTACATTTGGTTGCAGTCTCAGCTTATGAGCGTTCTCTGCCAAGTCACATTTAGGACTAAGTAACTCTATGAGCGATTCATAATCAACTGACGCAGCTTCTTAGAAACTCACGACATCACGGCATTCCAATGGAGTTTCACAGACCGACACCAGACACAATTTTGAAATCTGTTCATTTGTTTCAAAATAAGTTTTCTTGACTTTCTTGCCTGCAGCCCAGAAACACTAGTCTAGGCTGGCATTTCTGGGCTGCAGGCCCAGAAACGCCTAAACAAAGAAATACAGTCGAGCCCGGTTATATCACACCCGGGTAGTTCGAATTATTGCTTATATCGAACAGTCCAAACATCCCCTTGAAAATCGCATGTAATTGTATAGGAGCGTTGTCTTTTTGTATCGAACTTCCATGGACTCCCATGGCGGGGGACACTCGATATAGCGAACGAAGCACGGGGGCCCTTCGCTTCTCCTGTGGTCAGATTGCGCCCGCGGAGCACATAGCTCGCGTTGCCTGGCTGGCAGACCGCAGAGCCAGCATACGCGCACGAACATAATCAACAAAAAACAATTGTAAAAAAAAAAAAAAAAAAGTGGAGGATGGCAAAAGCAAAGGGAAAGGCACGCGCACGAGGAGCAGGGGGTGCTCCTTAACCCCAAAATAAAAGAAGCAAAAAAAATTCTTTGTCAAGTTGAGTGTGCAATGGTTGAGCAATAGCACTTTGAACGGCTTATCTTTGTTTACCTTTTTCTCTCGCCGTTATTGCTTTGCGCGTTTGTTTGCTTTTCTTTTCTTTTTTTTTGCTGCTTCACTTTAGTGAGGTTTCTTTTTAGTTGCTTGCTTAACTTTATTTTACGGATCGAGCGTTTTTTGTTTGTTTTTATGCAGCTCGCTTTTTCGGTTCTTTCATTTTTTTTTAATTCGTGTTTTGTCGCCGGTGCTGTGCGAAGGTCACGCGTCGCGCGCGCGTAAACGATCGCAAACACCGTCGCGTAAACGCGGCAGTATTTGTGATCTTCACCAACTAAGCTCTACTGTATTTAGGGGTTCTTAGTGGCTTTATTTGGTAAGGTCCCGTTTGTCGCGGCCTTCGTTACTAGCAGAGACGCGCGGAAATTTCAACTGGAGCTTAATTTAACATATTTTTGTATATCAAATTATCGATATATCGAACTATTTTACGATCCCCTTTGATTTCGATATATCCGGGTTCGACTGTAAAAGTGCAAACATTTTGTTTCCGTTAAAAAGCGTGGAACGCTTTTTAATGAAAATCCCTAATCCCCGAAATTAGTCCGTCGGTCTATCCGCGCATTTTTGCGCTAAATTAAGCGGAAAAATCGACACCATGTGACGCCACGGCATCACATGACACCGCGACATAAAACCGCAACGTTAATTTTCCCGCTAAATTTAGAGGTAAAATGAATAAACATGGGGAGCCACAGCCGAGTCCACGGCTGCTGAGCGCGTGTTGATGGCGAGCCTCCACAGTTATTTTCCAATGAGCATTCCCCATCATCAAGATCGCCAATCTTGGGAGCCTATAAACGTGAGCTCGTTCATAGCATGAGCAGTGAATGGCACACCCAAATACAGTGTAGACCGCATATAACGTATGTCGCGGGAGTCGCAAAAATCCGCACTATAAGCGGTACCGCGTTATAACCAAAACATCAATTTTTCAGGCCAAAATACATGCCATGAGACTACTTACCTTTGTAAAAGAATTTACTTTATGTTAGGAGAAAAATAAAGCTTAGTTTGAGGAAAGTCTTTATTTCACCAGACTAGAACAGTTCTGTCTCAAGTGTGTCACACATTTTGAAAGAAATGAGCGACTTTTGCCTGGCGCAGCCTTTTAACGGCGTCGCGGGTTGCGGACAGACGTTGCGAGCATTCAGGATTGCTAACCCTAATCACTTTTCTCCGGTAATGAAAACGCGTGAAAATTCGCATCCTTTATACGGTACGCGCCAGTAATACCTTCAACTTGAGCACAGGCATGAAATGCTCCAAATAAGAAATCCGGGCGATGTTCGAAAACACAGAAAGCACCACTCTAGTCGAAGTAAACAAACACGACGACACGGGCGTTTCTGCCGTCTTGAGAGTGCCGCCACGACATCGCCGCACGAGTAGGTGGATCTTCCCTTCTAGTACGTGCTGGGTTATCATAACCACACACAACGAAAATTCACAGTCAAGGGTAGCGCTTTTACGAGGAACGATGAGCCTCCATCACGCAATCTACGTCGACGATCAAAACCAACGCCATGTTTGCGGATAGACGCAGACGGCCCGCGAGCGGAGAGGAGGAGAAGCGTTGTAATAGAGGTTGGGGGGGAAAGGAGAGAGCCAATAGTGTGTACGCACTGCCGGCATGCAACGCGTGCGAACACTTCTCCTCGACTTGCGATTGGTCTGTCGTTGCGGTTGTTTCCAACCATCGCAGCGGAGGGACGCGCGCACGAGAACGACACGTGCATGCGTCCCTCCGTCGCTATGGCAACTGCAGCCTCTCTCTTCGCATCTCCCGGTTTCTTCGAGCAACCTCCTTGCCCCGCGAGTGCCGCTCGCGGCTCGCGCCGTTATCTAGCGCCGCAAAGGGAAGCGTGCTCGCTGCGCCGGTCAGTCGGCACGGCCGCCGGGCTCTTCCAGAAACCGCACTATAACCGGTATTTCCCTTCGCGCGCCTGCATTTTAAGCGGTATGTAAATACATGGAGTTCTATGGGAGGCGAACCTGTGGTTTAAAAAAGCCGCGTTATACCCGGTCCTGCACTATAAGCGGTTACGTTGTAAGTGGTCTATACTGTATGGCGTCCAGCAAATACCCCCATATGCTCTTTCTCCACTCCACGAAACGACTGTTATAAATGTTTTCTAAACAAATTTAAACGATCACTCCTAAACGTAGGTTGCTAGCCCCTGCTCTAATGCATTTCATGCATTAGAGCAGGGGCTAGCAACCTACAGCCCACGAGGCAATATTGTACGGCCCTTATCACGCCACCAAAAAAAAACAACCTCCCCCCCCCCCCCCATACAAAGAAACAAATACAGGGTGATTCAAGGAGAAGCCAGGCTCTTTAAATCGACTGCAAAATTTGGGTTCTTAACCTATCGCGCTACAACTTTGTGCAGCGTTGCCCACAGATGGTGCATTTTTTTGTAAAATTTGCAAAGAGCGAACTTACCTGAGGAAAAAGTAAAGAAAGAAAAAGGCTGAGCTTCTATGGAAACGCAGCAAAGCCACCGGTCTTCAAACAACACGGCGCCGTTTTGCACGGGAGACAAGAGATGGCACAAGCGGTCATGACGCAAACTGCCGCCAACGAACGAGCAGACGACGCCGAGAGCCGGCCCTTCAGCAGACTAGGAACTGCAGTTCCTTGTTGCTACCGCGCCTGTTTTTGTGTCTGCGACTGTCACCGCCTGTGGAACGCGCGCCACTTTTGAGTCAAAAAGATTGTCTGCTAAGACGCCGGCTCTCGGCGCCGTATGCTCGTTCGTTGGCGGCATTTATTGCGCCATCTCTTGTCTCCCGTGCGAAACGGCGCCGTGTTGTTTGAAGACCGGCAGCGTCGCTGCGTCTCCATAGGAGCTAAGCCTTTTTCTTTCTTTACTTTTTCCTCAGGTAAATTTGCTCTTTGCAAAGTTTACAAAAAAAATGCACCATCTGTGGGCAACACTGCACAAAGTCGTAGCGTGATAGGTTAAGAAACCGAATTTTGTGGTCGATTTAAAGAGCCTGGCCTATCCTTGAATCACCCTGTACAAACACGCTCCAGGATAAGAGGTATATATCCCAGAAAGACCTTTAAGGTATTTCAATAAATAAATAAATAAATATATGGTTGCAAACCCTGAGTAATGAGACTTATTAACTCGAGAGGTTTGCCAGACAGAATTTACTGATCAGCTGATCCCTAAACAATTGAAGGACGCATTTGCAGCGAACGATTTTGTTACGTTCTCTGTCAGCCTCCCAGAATAAAAGCTTCCAAACCTACACAATCTCACAGCAGCCTCGACCGAAGTGTTTACCACCGTACGCACAATATCTGCGAATGAATGCTTACTCAAGATGAAAACCGTCAGGACAAACGTGGATCATGCAAATGTCGGAGTACCCACAAAATGTTTGACGGCTCTCAATCTTTCCGAGCAATATTGAACGCCCAAAATCTCATCGAGACGGGGCTCGAGTAATCTTACGCTACCCATGCCCGATTCGAGAGAACATCTTTGCATACCACTTTGCATATACGAGTTTTTTTTTATCCTTTATTTCTATGGGCTGGCTTTACCCCCTTCCCCCTTTCCTTCACCGTTTCTTCGTCCAGCCAGCTCCATCTACGCTTTGCGGCGATTTGCCCCGCTGCAGCCAAAGGTTGCCAACCCCTGCATTAGAGGACTTGGAAGATCTGGTAATTTCGTCCCATCCCCGATAGGCGCGGTCCCCTGCTCGTAAACGGGGTGCCCATACACCCGTCTTGCCTGGTCGGTGAAGAGCTCCTGGGTGAAGACTGCCTTCATTTTGGCCAGGCTGTTGGGCCGGATGGGGATCTTCATGCCCAGGGTGGAGCAGACCAGGTCCGCAATCGGGCTCAGCTGGTTGCCGTGGAAGTGGATCGCAATCAGCAGCAGCATCTCCCCAAATGAGGCGTTCACGCCACTCGTCCTGTGGGGGGCGTCAACCTCGTCAATGCGGGAAAGTAGGGCCGATCTGCCGCGGCACGAGAAGATTATAAGTCTTGGGGCCCCAGAGCTCCGTTATCAGGCACAGTATATTCCGGTGCTTGCACGAGTCTTTGTATATACCACATTTGTATAAGTCGCACTTCATACACACTTGTACGGCTGGCACGGCGGAACTGCACCGATAAACCGGCGTATACGGGAGATTTGAGGTTAATTGAAACAAATCCTTTTACAGCGAAGCTGTTATGTGCTAGGATCTGGAAAAAAATGCGTCCAAAGATGTTAACAAAAAAAAACAAAAAAACAACCGCATCTCTACGTGGTGAATGATGTTGATTGGGGCGAAGCTCTGGTAATGCTTTTCTGCGTAGACGCTGAGCTGCAGCATGCCGGGCCTTTCGTTCGTTTCATCCATGTCACGGTGCGGTCAAATGCTCAAATGCGTATATAACCACGTTCTATACCACACATTCTCTTTCTGACATGGATGAAAATGAACGAAAGGCTCGGCATGCTGCGGCTCACCGTCTACGCAGACAAGCACCACCAGAGCTTCGCCCCAATCAACATCATTCACCACGTGAAGATGCGGTTTTTTTTTTTTTTCCCCTACACGAGCACGGGAGCACGTGCTCACGTGCTTGTGAGTACATGAGCTCATCAGCTGACGAGCAGGAGCACGAGCCCCCGACGCCGGACATCGGACGGACATATGGACATGGCTGGCCCCTAAGGAGCTTCACCCCTAAAAATTCCGTTTAAGCGGTGCTCCTTCATTACGATTGGTCGCGGCAAGTATAAATAAAAAGGGGGGCAACCCGTGTGAGTCATCCTTCCTTGGCATTATGAGATAGTGAGGTCCTGATCCCTTGTTATCATCTACAGTCACCGACTTATCTCAGCTAAGAGTGTGCTGTGACGAGGCTGAGGGCAGAACTTACGATTTACCTTTCTTTTCTTTCGCTTCTGCAATGCTGATAAAGAGACTTGGGCTCAACTGGGAAAAACTGTCCTCTAGGTGTGCCTCAAAGAATTGGGTTTAGCACTTGCCCATAAGTGACCATAAGGCAATGATCACTTGAGTCACTAAGAATTAAATAAAGACAATTAAACAACGAAGTCGTGTATGTGTCTTTATTGCAATCATACGTAAATCGTATAGTTGTCGTAAAGATAACAGCTTCGCTAGTCCTTCATCTTGATGTGAAGTGGATGGGCTCTACAATTTTTATGAAGGGGGCGAGAGTTAAACGAGTGCCGTCTTTACCACGTGTATATCGAGCTCGGCATACGTTAGGCGAGGGAATAATCGTTGTGCTAAGTTGGCTAATTAACTGAACTCCATTAAGTAATCTTAAGTAGTAAACTATTGGTTTTAGGAGTCATGTTGCAATTGCAGTATTGATGGGAATTACAATTAGAAACGAAACAAATTAAAAGAATTTGCAAAAGATTTAATATTTTTAATATTAATTTATTAAATTTCACATTTTTAGCTCGATTTAAAAATTGAGCATAAAACGAGCACCTCAAGCCCCGTCCACAGATGAAAAGTGTTTCCTGCGATCCCAGATACAGCTTCAGATAACTGGCCACAATTGTTTTAAGGGGGAGCTGGCCGTATTTTGAGCTACCTAAACTGCCTACCGTAAAATACCACGCATCCGTCCATTCCACATTAAGCGCCCATTACCAAATTTGTAAGATCTGAGAAAATACGCACAGTACATTTATATGTAAAACTAATGACCGGAGAAGCGCTCATCCTTCAATTTTTTGCGATTATCTCCAAAGTTTTGAGTGGGCACTTGCCCGGTATTTACGGTAAGTACATTTTCGGCACGCTATTTATTGTCTCTAAAGTCAAAAAAGCTATTGAGGAAATGGTTATGCCATAACCAACTAACTTTCAAACTTTCCCACGCTCTCCAGAGGGGTCATGTCACACGTTGTACAACTCACAAGTTGAGCAAGCAGTCTAAAAAAACTATATTTTGCACTTTTGTTTGTTTTGCCGCGCAAGCTTCCCCAGCATTCTTTTCATTCCGTCGACCCTCTTGTAACTCGTCGGGAACGAGCTGTACTATCCTCCCTATCACAAGGATGGATGGATATTAATGGCCATACCCTTTATGATGGGCAATAACTTGTGCCACCTAACCTGAGAAGTAAAAAAAAAATATATTCTTCTTTCTCTCCTCTTTTCCCAAGCCAACACATTTGACATCACACTTTCAGCATTTTCAGTAAAGCCTCTCCGTCTCTCGGACCAAGGTTAAAAAAAAGTTGAGGTTCTAATCCACGCTGTGAAGGTGGCTGGACAGCAAAGCTGAGGTATCACCCGCAACGATTGCCCACTGCACTGTAGACCCTTTTTATGGCAAATGCCACCAGGTGGTGCTGTCTTTGACATCTCAGAGAACGTCCGGTTTATAAAAAGAATGAACAAAGGCCACCTTAACACCGCTGCTTGAAATATAGATGAAACATTTAACCATCATTTCTCCAGGTGAACACCAAAAGAACGAAGTAGTGCGAGATCTGTCAAAAAGTTTAGAGTATTCTTGTAAACCAACTTGCCTCCTCCAAGATTCAATATTGTATAGCCGAAGGCCCTAGTTAAATCTCCAACTTTGTTGTCTGTGTAGCATTTATGCTTTCTAACACTGGTTACATAAGCAGGCTTGCAGAGACAGCGAGACTGGAAGTCACTTGGGACACAAGCAGCTTGGAACACAAACAGTAAAAGGGTATAGACCCTTTTACTAGGGAGTTTTAGAATAACGCACGCTAAAGCTTTGCGTACGCAAAGAATAGCGTCATCGCCACTGCGCATGCTCCGAACGCAAACCAGGTTTTGCGCTTTGCGTGCGCAATTTTAGCGTGCGCTATTTCTCGGAAATAGCGTGCGTACGCAAAGAGTGCGCTTCTCCAAGGAGGATTCGTGATGAGAAGTTGGCTAAAGCCAAGACGAGCACAGTTAAAAAAATGGCGGCTTCCAGGATTATGCCGGCGGCTGCTTTGGCGGCGTCGTGAGTGCGACGTCGGCGGCATCCTCGCGACTGCGATTTTCAATACGGGACGACATTGTACGTGGTTTGGCAACGACCCCCGGCAACTTGATGCTTGCGACGCGCGAACATTTCTCGGCGAAGGTACGATGTGCGAAGGTCAGTACGCGAGACCTCTCTTGCCAAGGCGACGCAAGCGGACACGACTTGTCAACCGCTCGCGTCGCATTCTCATGTTTAAACAATTCTAAAATAGTACTCTGAACCAAAAAACTTTTTTTTTTCTAAAGTTACAGCATTTCGTGTGTGAAATAAAAATTGTGACTATCTTGGTGGCGTTGCAAGCGCGAGCTGCTTGTGCTTTTGCATCGCGGCGGAGAAACGCTATTCTAAAACTCTCTTGCGCCGCATGCGTTAATACAAGCGCTAAATTTAGCACTAGCGTGCGCTAAAATTGCGTATGTTATTCTGAAACTCCCTACTGTTTGTAAACAGTAAAAGGGTCTATACCAAATGATTGACAAAAGAAAAGTAAATGCACTGTACCCAACCACTTTTATATATGAAAGACTTTGTACACTGCTGTTGCCGCGGCAGCTTATGCAACCCCAATCTTTACCGAGAAACGCATGAGGGGGGCACTACGTGCTTATCATCTATAATGTGGTTTTGATGGTTGTTTTGTAGTTTTCTTATTGAAACAAGTGTCAAAACCACATGGTAAGAGATAAGGTGTGCGCCAACGGAGATAAGGTGTGCGCCAACGGTGATAAGGCACGCCCGTGGGTTTTCTGTCGATAGTAGACACAAAAAAATCCCATCTACGAGTCATATACAGCTTCACTGTAAAACTCCGTAATTTTGCGACAAAGAATTATTGTGACTCGTTATTTGAGTTACCGGTTCGGACATGTCTGTTTATGCGTTTAACCAGTTTCAAGGCGAATCGGTAACTACAAAAATTTTGCCGGAGCTCCCCTTTACACATGGAGGTAGGAAGCTTCTGGAAGCGACATGAGGCTACCAGAGGTGAAGCCAAAAGTGTGGAGGGGCACGCCCCCAACGACGACCAAAACCAAGAGACGCCATTGGACGAAAAGAAGAGCCGACTCAACGGCTGTTTCAGTCGATCGTGGGCCTGGGCCCCGAGAGTGACTGAAACAGCCATTGAGTCGGCCCTTTTTTTCGTCCAGTGGCATCTCCTGGTTTTGGTCGTCGTTAGGGGCGCGTCCCTCCACACTTTTGGCTTCACCTCTGGTGGCCTCATGTCGCCTCCAGAAGCTTCCCACCTCCGCGCCTATAAGCTCGAGGATGGCTTAGGAGCCGCTACTCTGAAACGCGGCGTATTCGGTGACGCCAGTCGCCGGGAGGGAAGGGAGCTCACCTGCCGAAGTAGCTCTCCTCCCGCATGAGCCAACGTATCCAGCGGGTGGCCTGCTTCTCATGCTCCTGGCTGGACACCAGGGAGGGGCAGGCCAGAAGCATGCACAGCCCCAGGGAGACGAAGCGGATGCCCGCCGCGCTCGGAGGGGGGTGGGAGGTCGCCAGCTGCACCAGCACCGCCACCTCGTCCTCTGTGAACCTGCGCGAGAGAGCCGTCCACCTTCCTTCGCGTCGAGGCTGTCGCAACTGTGAAAAAGCTGCGCGGTGGACCGAGAGTCACGGAGACTGAAGCTTCCGAGGAGTGACGATGTGGACAATTAGACTGGCAGGTACAAAGTTAGGACGCCTTTTCACTTTTCGCACGTACAGTTTTGCGTTGAGTAAAATATGTTACCCCCAAAATTGATGGCTGGACTAGTAAACCGTATTTTACGGTCTATGACTTGCACGTTTGTATAAGTCAAACCTATATATTTGTAAGGTTGGCAAAGCAAAACTGCACTGAAGAGCCTGCAGATGCATTTTCGAATCGCAATATATGATAGAGCCCCGTTGATATGTTTCTCGGGGGATCACAAGAAAAAAAACATATAATTTGGGAAAACGTAAGAAGTGAGAAGGCCCTTGGGGGGGCTAAGAGCTTGCTGGGACCTGCGGTTTTGAACATAAAAACCGGGAAAATATAAAAACCAGGGACAAATCAAAGAGGTTCTACTGTATGCGCAAGCGAAAGCAAGTTTCAACATGCTCGTTGACGAATCGAGCAAGAAATATAACCCCCGTGGAAAATTTGAGCAATTAAGGTTTCTTACTTTTGCATACTTCAACTTGAAAGTTTTTGCGTGCTGTCACTTGATGATATATGTACCACAGTCGCAGCACCAAGAAAACCAATGCCATAGGATAGAGCGACTATAAGGGTCCCTATCCGACGGAGCGGAGCCTTTGCTTGAGAAAATATACGCCGAGACAATCCATTTGCTGGTAGGTAGAGCCCCAACTTAATGCTTAGGTAACTACGAAACATGCATTTCAACATGCTGCATCTATAGAAACTATAGTTCGCTACAGGTTACAAATAGCGGTGCTTTGTGCAAGGAGCTGGTCTTGTTCAAAACCTGCAACAAACTATTCTCCGTTTACCCCTAAGCCGACAGAGCGGTGGGCGACACGCACTCCTAGGAACAATTAATAGCTTCCCTTTCATCACCTGACCCCATACTTGGTGCTTGATTAAGAGTGGGAGCTTAATCAAACTGTAAAAGACGGACGTGCGATTTGTCCAACTAGCACATAGCTTCCACCTAGCTGTCGTCTGAGGGGTGACCAAAGTATATAGACCATCGCAACAGGCGTAAACTTCCCTCGACGCCACGCTCCCGCTCGACCGCACGTGCGAGCACTCACTTGAGGCCCGCAATGCCGCGGAGGGCGCAGAAAAGGCGCAGCAGGGAGTTTGCCTGGACCACCCGGCAGTCCGGCAGGTCCTGTTGCTCCATGCTGAAGAGCACCAGGCGCTGGAGCCGGGACAGCAGCTCCCCCCGCAGAGCCTCCAGGGTGCTGCCCTTGCCCGTCTCCCCCTTCTGCATCACGGCAGGGATGCACGAAGGCAGTGCGGGACGTCAGGTGGCAGAAATGGGCGTGCCGCTTGGGAACCATCCATGAATGAAACGGCAATGCTCGCTAATGCTACAACAGATTCCTCGTCTATTGAAGAATTCGCACCGGCGTAGCGGTGGCCTTTCTCGGGCTCATGACCGACATGTAAAAACAAAGTATCCTCTTTTTCCTTCAGAAAAAAAAAATAGCAGGAGGAAACAACCTTTTACCTTCCTCCTCGCCAATTTTGCTCATTTCCTGCCTGCATCCTCCTAGATGAAGGGTTCCCAGACTTTCCTATGTCGAGGAGCGCCAATTCCGCTTGACTGATTGCCGAGGATCTCCCGAAGGTCTTGTATACCATGTAGCCTCGTATACAATAACTACATATGCAATAACAGCCCCACTAGGTAGGGAGTATTTGAAACACAGTTATGCATCAACGAATGGCTAAGACTTTCTAAACTGTGCTTAAACAGGAAAAACACTTTACTTAGAAACAGGCACGGCCAAGGAACCCCCGAGGATTCTCCGGGGAACTCTCGAGTTCCTAGGAACACAGTACCTCCATCCTGAATAAGTAGGGCTAGATTTTCTGTCACTTGCCAGAGGTCAACAAGGGACACAGATTGGACGCAAACACTATGCTGACGCTCGGCTGGTGTTCTCACCCATTGAAGACGAGTTCCAGCCAAACGCTGGTGCAGTGCAATGCTCTTGTCCAATCTGGGCCCCTCGCTGGCCTCTGGCAGGTGAAATGAAAAATCCAGCTTCACAGCTAGCCTCGTTAGCTAGGAGGTGCTGGAAAACTACCCCTTCTTTTCCCCTCGCCATTTTACAGTCAGCTGTACTTGGCTCGGTGCAACAGGCGAGTGTCGTGTTGATGAAAACGAACGGAGCGTGTGCGCATTTATCGGGGGGGGTTTTGGGGCCGGGAATGGGGCGAGTACGGCAGTGATAAGCCTGCCCTTTCGTCCATAACAGTCACGGCTGAAACGCGGTGCTTTTGGCTAATGGCAATTGCGCTAGGGGTCGTGCGATCACGCTCCTTGCCACCTGCTCTTTCTTGCGTTTGGTCGCCTGTTCCCTCGGTGCTCCAAGCCTTTGCGCGCATGAATGGTGCGGCCAAAGCATACGCGGAGTGAGCGGCGGCTGCTCGACGGCGTAGACAAACCCATGAGAGAATGTTGTCGATGTGTAGCCGCCGACGGCCTCACCCTGGGTGTTAGGATGGGACGCATCTGACGTCAAGATCGTGCTAGGGGTGAACGTGAAGCGGGACGTAGGAGAGAACTTTACCGAGTAAAGAATGAACATGCTAATGCGACCGAGCAATTTGTGCAGCACCTTCGAGAGAACGAGTTTGGTGCTAGATGTTTTGCGTGTGATCGGTCGTGGTTTACGCGAGACACCATGTGACGCAATGTTGCTCTAATTTTCAGTGAATAGCGACACAATATTATTGTAATGTCGCACCAGCTGACGCTCTCCATATGCATCACGTCACGTAATTATCTGCACAATTTGTTTCCTCATTTCCTGCCTGCTTGGTGGCTGCTAACCAGTTATAGGATATAAAAATAGCACTTTTGAACGTATTTACACGATTGTAAGCCGACTCGATTGTAAGTCAACCCCTCACATTGCACATCAGGAAAAAAAAAAAAAAATCTTTAGATGCGCATTTTACTGCGAACACGTGAGAACGGCAAAAGTACCTGTCTCCAAAGCCGAGCCTTCAACATGCGATCGATGCCTTCTGGCATGCTCTGCCTGTGCATGCACACGCAAGGTGCATGAGATGACCAGGCGTTATCGGAAGTTCATGCTAGAGGCGGGACAACTAGGAAGTTCACGCTAGAGGCGGGACAACTGAAGCTGTTCACTGTCGTTCTCACTCCATCCGCGACTAGACTACGACTCGCCCGCACTAGTGATGTCAGTCCCATCGTCATCACTGCTACGTTCTCAAAGCACGTCGTCGGCGTCGTCTAACGAAATCTCGCACTTGGCAAATGACAGCATCAACCGCATCTTTCACGCTTGCTCGGCGATCGCGTTGCACGTCATGGGTAGGGACTGATTGTGCACTTTTGCAGCGTACGTTGCAAGTCTGACCTCCAACTCCAGAAGGCATCCCCACCTATCCAGACTTTGGCCTACAGAAGCCTCTTCGTTTGCCGTCACAGTTAAAGATCCCACGCCATCGCAGACTCCACTGGAGCATCACCCGCTCCGACGGGTCGAACTTGTGTCCAACAGAGCAGCTGTTGGTTGCTTCTGGGTGAAGAATGGTCATAAAAAGCACCGAAAACCTAAACTGCCTGGATCACGCGTGTCAATACAAAAAAACGTAGTTAGCGCAAACATAGTTAGCGCTCCAGTATGACCTTGTCCCCCGATCAAACGACGTGCGACCGTGAATTGTGCGAAAAACTGCGAGGAGAAGCCATGGGGTGAGTGAGCTGTGAGGCTCTTCCAGCGGCCCCTCCGGAGTGGCTCTTACAAGAAGTGCCGCCACCCCCCAGGAGTCGGGCGCGCCGTGCGCTGTTCGCCACCGTACAGTCAAGTTAATTTGCGAATCACTATCAATAATACTCGTTCGCACAAATAAAGAAATGATTAATTTGTAAAATGAGCGCACAGAATAGTGCAATGCTAGAGGTACAGCCGGCTGAACTCGTAACAAGCCGAGGTGTTCATGATATCGCGATTGTTTCGTTTTTGCCGGCAGTGGAATGCTTTGGTTCGATTATAAGTCGACCTCCCCACTTCGGATTTTCAAAAATTGAAAAAAGAGTCGACCTACATTCGTGTAAATATGGTAATGTGCTGTTCGATATTCGTTTCGAGACAAACTGCCTTATTTGTACTTTTTGAAGCGCTGATCGTGGCAGACTAGCCCCGTTAAGTGTGCTTTCTCACTGAGCACCAGTTCACTGTGGAGAAGCAAGCTCTGCGGGTGTAGCTTCTCTGCAGTGCACCGGTGCTCGGTAGAAAGCGCACCCAAAGGGGCTAACCCCCGCCACGATCAACACACTGAAAAGTACAAATAATGAAGTCACGTGCTTAGGAGAAAAGCACACTTTCAAAGCGGAATGGCCCAGGCGCGTGGTCAGTGTATTTAGAAAGAAGTGGAAAGTTTGTGAATGTTGATACCTGCCAGGCAGCAAAAACTTTTGCAGGCTAGATTTAACTGTGCTCACTGTTGCTGTTTCTTTTTTTATGGTTGGAGTTATCGTTTCTAAGCCTCCTGTCTTTTTATCTCCTGCATAGCAGCTGCCAGTGCACATAAATGATAAAAACAAGGAAGGTAATAAGGAAGACTGTGTTCACTCTACAAATACATCTCGATTGTCCCTTCCACTAATTGTGTGTCATTAATATGAACACCTCCGTTCACCCAAAAGCTTGTCCATCATGTGAGTCACCCGTAATAATGAGACAAAAATTCATGTATTTACCCAGCTTGTCCCCAAAAATGTTGTCCACCTATATAGTGGTGTAGCCACACTAAGGAGACATGACTCCATATAAATAAGGTAAGCTCTCGGCCTAGTCCTGACCCACCTTCTGGCAGCTGCGGACGTACTGAGCGAACCAGGTGCGCACTTTGTCGTCGCTGCCCAGCAGCAGGCCGCTCACGAAGGCCACCAAATCCCCCGCCAGCTCGGAGTCCGAGTCCGGCTCGCAGTGGTCCAGTGTCAGCAGCACCGCCAGCCCCGGCATGCGGCAGAGCTCCACCTGCGAGCAGCCGCCACTGCTGAAGCGCTCGCCATCTACAGTCTAAAAGGGAGAGCTGCTCTTGGAAGTAAAAAAATAACCGCATCTCCACGTGGTGAATGATGTTGATTGGGGCGAAGCTCTGGTGGTGCTGATGATACTGATTTTGTTCATAGGTAGTGCTGATGGCGCTGATATTTTTTATCCTTTCCGGAGCAGCTTGCTGTCTGCGTAGATGCTGAGCCGCAGCATGCCGAGCTTTTCATTTGTTTTCATCTATGTCGGAAAGAGAATGTCTGGTATAGAACGTGCTTATATACGCATTTAAGCATTTGACCGCAGCGCCCTCTCGTCTATAAACATTGAACCAATGCATGCAAAGTTTAGTGTGATTATATACGCATTTGACCGCAGCGCCCTCTCCTGTATAGACGTTTCATGCAACGTTTCATCCATGACATCCCCAGCTCTTGAATTACTACCACATCTCAGAGCCCCCTACTCGTCCCGCAGTCTTGGCCGAGTGGTTAAGGCGATGGACTAGAAATCCATTGGGGTCTCCCCGCACAGGTTCGAATCCTGTCGACTGCGCAAACATTTTTTTCTTTTTTTAAGAAGACAGATGGGATGGCAATCGATGTGAGCACGGACGCCGGACAAGGCTAGAACCTAAGGAGCTTCGCCCCTAATAATTCTAAAAAAATTGACATTTTTGAAACTGTCTTCTTCAAGACCTACGGGAACTTCTCGTCTTGTCCTCCAGGATTTTTGTGAAATAAGACCTATTTATTTTCAAATATTGATATGAAAGTGGAGTAAAATGAGTTTGTGAATGATTTCTTCCTGTTATATCAAAGTCAATTTTTTACGCACCACTTTTTTGTGGACGCCAAATTTTCACTTGTACGCAAACCAATCTTCGTCATTCCTTTTTCTGCCAGAAGTGTAACAGAGGCTTCCGATAAGGGGTATAAACATGTTAGATATAGCTGAAGTACATTATGCGATGCAACCAACTTATCCTATGACAATAACTTTCTAAAGTAAAAAACAATTTAGGTTTCATAAAAACCTCATAGTCTTCATTTATACTTAAAGGGGCACTGACACATTAAAATCATAATTTATTTTATTATCCGAAACGATTGAAAATGATGCTGGGACATTACCCTCAAAATTCGAAACTTGGGAATTCAGTATTCGTGAATTAAAAAAACAATTTCCAAATGCCGAATTTGAAGTTCCCGCGCGATCCGCGCCAGTGCAGTGAGTCAAATTTTGCGGTCTCCTGCGACTCGCCTTTCTTTCGGACCTCCGCACCACGCTGTGAAGCAAAGCGCCGTTGCTACCGCGACCCGAAGAGAGGAGGAGGTGAGCAGGCGGGATAGAAGGGAGCCGACGCGGGGAAAAAACGGTTTGTTCCCCGACTCGGCGATAAGCCTCTGCTCGAGCGCCGCCAAGTTTTCCGAGGGAGAACACAAATCCAGGAAGCGACATCACACCGAAATCTGATTTTTGGTATTTCAAAAAGAAAGGCTGTAGTGCGTTCATCATTGCGTTAAAAAACATGTTTTACGATTGTCGTTATTAAATGTCGCCTACAAAGCTTCCAAATTTTCTGATTTTTGACGTCACCGATCAAAAGAAGCTAGGAGGTAAGCGCGGGAAATATAAATGCCAAAAATAAAAAGGTGCGCGCTCGCGCGAAATTTTTTTCGCAACGCGTTTTTTTTTTTGCGTGTCTATTACTACAACTTGCATTGTTTTAAACAATAAAAAAGAGTATGACCTTTGGGGTGTCAGTGCCCCTTTAATGAATGCTGTAGACCTCTAATTTTTTTAAATTTAGATATTTAAATTTGTCTTAATTCTGCACATAATCTTTGTGGACCAAAACTTCAATAAAGGAGCAGGCAGATGCCAAAGCTTTTAACGTGCTGCCCTGTACTCCCACATGCCTGTCTGCACCACTGAAGCATCGGCTGGGCACCACGTGCTTCACAGTTCGAGACAAGCCTCCCACACGTTCCCAAGAGCAGAACCACGACTCACGGCCTTGGCTCGCACGATCAAGGCTTGGGCCGGGTTCATCTGGCAGAGCAGGTGCAGGGCCTGCATCCTGATGCAGCCGCCCACTGTGTCCTCATCCTGCCGGTCTCCGTTGGAGATCAGGGCCAGGCACACTGCGACAAGACGTCGAGAGACACACTGCAGCTCTCCCATGCACACGCTGTGATTCCCATATTTTCTGGGGGATGGTTAGGGCCCTTCGTTTTTGGGTTTTATATGTTTCAGTAATCAGGGGGTAAAAATAGGGCACTTTGATCCAAAAGTGTAATTGGAAAGAAATTGGGTTTTTAATTAATTATTATAAAACTCTCGATTTTCAGGATATATTTAGAAATATGCAAGTAAAAGTAACAATTGATTGGTTTCAATACAGATATTAATTTTAATAAAGTACTGTACCCAAGATAGCATTGAAACATGGTAAGAACTCAGATGGGCTTTTAAATTTTTGATGAATCCTCATTGCTTACATAATATTCTGCGCGCGCATCATCTCTGTCTCCATCCTGGACCCATCCGGTTTTCGGACATATGGTATCTGAACTGAGAGAACATTCTCTCAGCATTACAGCTTACATATACATTTCAGATACATAGTTTCTCACCCTTCTTTTTCACTCTTTATATTTGCGCTGGTTGAAATAGAAAAAGGAGTGAGGTAAAGAATGCTTCACAATGGACACAAAGGCAACATTTGAGAGCTCGACTTCTGTTACGACAGTTCACTGAATATAAAAGAATTTAGGATTGTTTCTGAGGTCTGGAGCTAGCCATATGTCCCTACCAACATCTTTGTTTCCTAGAAAATATTTTCGGAGGCTAGTAATTTGAAATACACTGAAATACGATTTCCAAATTTGGAGAAAACTCGGGTTCAACCTGACTTTCAAGAAACATGACCAAGGAGTAACCATCATTAAATATTGGGTCTTACCCAAAAACAAATATCCTAAGTATAGTCTGTAGGCTATACAGTGCAATTAATTTATAACGATAATTAGAAAACCCAAAAATTCAATCGTTATAACCGATTATTGTTGTACCTGGACTAGAAATTGAGCGTTTCTAGTCTAAAATCTCTAGAAACTGATCATTATATGTGGTATCGTTATAAGTGGATTGCACTGTATATATTTAAAAGCTTAAATTTTATGCGGTGAAGAGTATACTAGGATTTGTTTCAATATTGCTTGTTATGATGAAACGTGACAGATCTTTTGAATGACATAACACGTTAATGACGATTTATGTATGATACAAGCTTCTTTGTGAGCTAATAAAGCGGGTGCTTGTCAAGGTCCACACCAGGTGCAGACTATCTAAGAAAAAAGCTTATTTTGGCTTTTGCAAGCTATGCACCGGGCCCGGACTAAACTTCAGAAAAAATGGTACGCTCAAAACAGTAGGGCAACACTACTGCACATAGGTGACGGAAATACAGAGGTGCTTGCTCATTCAGAATGGAAAAAAAAACAAAGCTAATGACTGAAAGTGTGGGAGGAAAGAGGCATACAGTGTGACTCTTGACTGACTACTACTTTTTTCTTGAAAAACAAAATATTTCATGTAAGGCACAGGCATTTTTACGACTCTAAAACAAGATTATATTCTTCCCAGATTGAAGCTAAGAAATAGGTTGCCAACAAACTGATCATCATTTTTACACAACCATATTGTAGAGGTCTCGAGTTCTAGCCGTGGAACCTCAGTCCCAAATTATGTGCTTCCAGGATCATTCTTAACCAGAGCATATCTGCTAGTTTCTCTGTGTGTAAGGGCATCACATTTCTGTTTGTGAGGTTGCACTCATCCTCGTACCTTCCCCGTGCTGATCCATTCAAAAATTGTTCTATCAGAACCAAAAGCATCCCTCTACTTTGGCTCGTTTGCGACTGGACAGGTCCAACTGTCTTGTCTCCAGCTGTTTTATTTTTAGTCGCTTTTCGCTCGACCAAAGTGATCATAGTCACTTACCGTTAACATGGACCCCGATAGCATGGATACCCTACTATAGGATTTGTTCAGATAAGCTCGTGCACGCGAGTCCGGACATAATTTTTTGTTGATTTTTTTTTATGTTACTACTCAGCATGTGAAGAAAGCATAATACAAAAAGATTTTGCAAAAAACAAATAAATATAAAGAGAAAAAAATGCTGAGTGCGCAAGAACGGCATATTTGATTTTTTTAGGTTTTCGTTTATGTCATGTTTCGTGATACCTACTATGCAACTACACATATCAGAAATCTCAAATATTTTCCACTTATAATAGATCATGGGAGCTATTGACGTAGATACGTACAGCGTCATGGAAAGTATACATTTTGCATCAAAAATGCGCGAACATGGTTTCTTTGACGTTTTGTTAATACAGTCAAACTTGGATATATTGAATTCAAAGAGGATCATAAATAGTTCAATTTACAGTCAAACGCCTGTATAACGAAGCGTGTCGGACCGCGATAATTCTTTGTTATACAAGTCACTTCGTTATATCCGTCGCGCACTTTAATGACCCCAATAAAGCTGATATGCAACGAAATAGCCCGTCGTACAGGCTATTTCGTTAGTTATTTTGCTATTTCATAGTAGAAGCGTTCGTTGTAGCGGCGTTTGACTGTATCAGTAATTTGATATACAAAAATATGTTAAATTAAACTCGAGGTGAAATTTCCAGGCATCTGCTAATACCGAAGGTCGCGACAAACAGGAGCTTACCAAATAGAGCATCCAAGAGCCGCTAAATACAGTACAGCATAGTTCATGAAGACCACAAACACCCCCGTGCTTACATGCGTGCCTGCCAGGGACCTCCACACAGCGTAAATGACAAAACACGAAAATAATAATAAAAAAAAAAGAAATAAAAACGGAAAAGTCAGACACATAAAAAAATGTTTTGATCCATAGAAAAAAGTTAAGCAAGCAACAAAAAAGAAAGCTCGCTAAATTCAGGCAGCAAAAAAAGAAAAAGGGGCAAAGCAATAATGGCAAAAGAAAAAGGTAAACAAAGATAAGGGTTGTCTTTTTTTTTCCTTTACTGTGCACAACCGTTGTTGTCAACACACTCAACTTGCCAAACTTTTTTTTTTTTGGGGGGGGGGGGGGGGGGGGGGGGGGTAGGCAGTTGCGCAGCATCAGCAGTGTTCGGGGAAAAGGCGCAGGCTCTCCCTACGCGTGCGTGCCCTTCCCCTTGCTTTTGCCATCCTCCTCTCTTTTTACGGTTCACTGTCTCTTCTTTTCCACAATTGCTATTTGGCTGCCTATCTTCCCGCGTGTATGCTGGCTTGGCGGTCTGCCAGCCACGCAACGCAAGCCATGTGGTCGCCACCGGGGCAATCGGATCGCGCAAAAAGCAACGGGTGAGCGGCCGACCTTCGTTCGCTATATCGAGTGTCCCCGCCGTGAGAGTTCGATACAAAAAGACAACGCTCCTATAATATATTACATGTGATTTTCAAGGGGATGCTTGAACTGTCTGATAAAAACAATAATTCGAAATAACCAAGTGTGATATAACCGGGCTCGACTGTAGGTTTATGAGTCGTTATCTGAACAAATTTAACAGCTACAACATTAAAATTTATGTCATACATTATTATTGAAACATTCTTTCAAATAATATGTAAATTATTGCTTTATCTCAAAAATTTAATTTTTATGTTGCTCCAAACTTGTCCTAAAGTACAAAGTTAAGAAACTTCAAGAGGCAATTAAAAAAAAAAAATCCCATATTCCATTTTTCTGAAATTTATATGCCTCGCAAGTGGGCTCATTTTCATCTTCTGCGCATGGGAAAGGAAGTAGCGGTGACGTCAGAACGCCGAGCCCTGATTGGCTGGTCGCGACCCCCTATCTCAGCGTCGTCTGCTCCTTTGCAACGTCGTCTGCTCGCAACGTCGTCTGCGTCTATCTTACCTTTCCTGCGACTTTCGGAAGTGGAGGTCTTTAAGAGCGAGCTCGACTTCGCCTTTCAAAGAGGGCAGACGAATAACTCGAGCGGTACTAGCAGACCCATATCAAGGAGGGAAGTCAAAGGACTCACTGGCGAGGTGTCCCGAGGCGCCGAGGTTAGTTTGCTAAGAACCGGGAGTGAGCTCCCAAATACTTTTTCCCTCCTTTCGTAAGCGGCGAGACCCCTCATTCTTTAACGGCGTCGGCGGGTTGGCGCAGTTAACGTCGTCTGCTTTACGTCTGCTAGTCAAAGCGATGGCTGCTTTACCTCTCCTGCGTCTGCCGGAAATTCACCGCTTTTTCACCGGCGAGAGTCACCGTTGCCTCGGGAAACAAGGAGATAACAAGAGGAAGAAATTGACCTCTTAATCTAAAACTGAGGTTAGCGATCAAAGTATAATACGGGAAGGGTTCACAAGGGTCGCGCGGGCATATTCTATTCAGCACACCAGCCGGTCATGGGCAGACGGTCGCCGAGTCGCGGAGTGCCTGCTAGGCCTCACTGCCGTGCTCGCTTGGTCGCGTTCGGTGCCATCATGGCCGTTGGAGCTTTTCCTGGGTGTTTGTGGATCCAGCGTTCTTGTTTGTCGTGGTCTGTTTCAAGTACTTTTTACTTTTTTCTTGCTGCTTGAAGTCGGGACGCGTGAGAAGCGCACGTAGAAAAATAAACGTCCGTGGGTCGTCGCAACCGCGACGCTGTCGGCCATGCTGATTTGATCGTAAGAAGTGCGTAAGACAGCTTCGGAGGTGTCGTAGGATTTCGTCATAACCTGCGCAAAACTTACGAAAATTTCGTTTCGTGAATACGAATTTGTTCTTAAGTCATGTCTTACGCACATTTTTGGCGTAAGATAGTTTCGTGAATCTGGCCTTTGCACTTTCGAAAGTCGCAGGAAAGGTAGGACAGACGCAGACGACGTTGCGAGCAGACGACGTTGCAAAGGAGCAGACGACGCTCAGATAGGGGGGTCGCCATCAGCCAATCAAGGCTCGGCGTTCTGACGTCACCGCTACCCCCTGCGCAAGAAGCAGACGAACTTGCCCTCCGCATAGAGATAGTTCTCCACCATACTTTGTGTTTATTCATACAAAACATGCTGCATCATTTTATTTCCTTCAAAGTTACAGCGCTGCAAAGTGCACGTTCCATGCTGACACTTTGGCCCAATGCCAAAGAAGGGATGATCTTTTGATTCCTAGTGTTTTATGACAAGACATTTTTTTTGTGCTGTATTCAGGTATTGGGCTAAAGTTGAGGTATTCAACTCATTAAAACAATACCCGCATTGCTCGTCCTTTGCACTTATTTAACCATTAAGATTGTTTTGTTCTTTAAAGTTACAAGTTCTAGGAGCTTTAGCCAAATTTTTTTCCACTTGTAATCACTACTACTAGCTTCTTTTTCTTATAGAAAGTAGTAGAAAAGTAAGAACAGTGGCACAAATTATATGCAAATATTTATATCTGGTATATTCGCGATGAAGTGGGGATGTTTAAGCCACCAAGCTTGCTAAACTGCTTTTTTTTTTTTATATTTGCACTTTAGGGCAACTTTGGAACAACATAAAAACTTCAATCTTTGAGATAAAGCAATGACTTATATATTAATCGGACGAATGTTTTAATAAGAATACATAACGTGAGTTTAAATGTTGTAACTATTTAACTTTTTTAAATAACGGTTGAGAAATCTAGTGACAAAACGTCAAAGGAGCCATGTTTGCACATTTTTGACGCAAAATATATAACCTCTACAATGCTGTACATCATTAAATAAATAGTTTCCATGCTCCATTATAAGTGGAAAATATGTTAGGCTTCTGATATTTGCAGTTTGAGTAGTGGGTGTCACCAAACATGACATAAACGAAAACTTCAAAAATTGAATATGCTGTTCTGGCAAACTCAAAAACTTTTTTTCTTTCAAATATTATGTTTTTTTTTTTTTTTTTATCTTTTTTGGCAACGTTCCCTACGCATGCTGGAGAGTAATATAAAAAAATGGCAATAACAAAAAATGTTTCCGAACTTGTGTGCATGATCTTATCTGAACGTATATGGACACTGTTTTTGGGGATGAACTGGGTAGTAAATAAATGCATATTTGTTTCATCATTATGGACAACTCGCACTGTGAACGGTTTTTTGAAGGAACAGACAGTGTTTATATTAATGAGACATCACTGCACATGCTTTAGGTTTTGGACACCAAGCCTCACCTTCGGAGAAGCTGTCCGGTGCATTGGCTATGAGCCGACACAGGAGGTTTGGCCCGTTCTTCAAGTGGATCAGCGTCTCTGCTATGTCTTGTATGTGGAGGATGCCCGGAAGCTCTGAAGAAAAACATGCAATTAGAGAGCTCCAGTGCGGCACAATGCGCAGACGCTTTGTAACACTGGCATCCTGGGCAACCCGCCGAGCAAATGTCCGAGCTGCGTCGGTGATTCCAAGGCAAAGAGCCGGCCTACGGGTCCCCGGTTAATGGAATCGAATGCCAGCTGACCTGCCCGCAATTTGACGGAGCCTTTTATTGCGGTGAAGGCTAATTGAAGCTGACATTTCGGCTGCATGTCAGGGAATCTCCATGCAGTCTAAATCGATTCTCAGTCCTTCGTTGGTTTAGCACGTAAACACCCATAATTTTCAGTGTACCTTTGAATGGGTTCAGAAGCAACGCGAACCACAAGCACAAATCAGACTATCAAGTCCGAGATAAATCTGTGCTCCAAAAAATTTGGGTTCTTATCAGCGTGCGTTAATTGTTTTTGCATTTGAGTATAACATACTGCACCAAAAGTTTGTATTCTAGCAGTAAAGGCAATTTTACATTTGAGCAGATACTCCAGTTCTATGCATTGTTACTACTATTCAAAACAATGTGAGAAAACTGCAGGTAAAGGTTACCTGGCACGTTTTAATTGCCATGGAATTATCTTAGGCTCAACAGCTTTTTAAAGAGCAATTCCACCTCATTTTTGTTTTTTAAAAAAAAAAAAAAAAAACACAATGCAGTCCTTTTCAGCACTACCTAGGAAGACCGCACGTCAAATATTACGACCTAGTTCTGTCTAAATGCTTCTTAAACGGTCCATCAAACTTTGCAGCGCGCCAAGTTGCCGAAATCGGCTGACTCTAGCGGATGAATTGAGGTGCAACCAGCAGCGCAATCAAGGCTACGGCAAAGGCATAGCCAACATTGAGCTAAACGTCATCACCATTGCCCCTTTTTGCTTGTTCTTACTACTCTGGGCAAGCATAACAGGTAACGTCGGCAACGTTTCCTCTCGGCGCTCAGCGGTGGCCACGTGATTGGGGTAATGTGCCCACGCAGCGCGCTTCTTGGGAGCCGTCTGGCCGTTACCGCCGTCTCCTGCGTCACAACTGCCATCGTCATATCACCGTTTGTGATTATTGTCTCTCGGAGTTTCATTAACACTACGTGCGCAGACTGGTGCCGCAGCTGTGCAGTTGTTGTCGAATATCGCAGGCACCAAAACGTGGTAAAGAGTGCGGTGCAGACGACACTTGCACCTGGCACACGCCCGCCCCACTACCGCCCATTGTCGCGTAGAGCAGTTGTTCTCAAATGGGGGTCCGCGGACCCTTCGGGGTCTGCGAAGGCATTCTAGGAGTCCGCAAAGCCCTACGCAAAGCCCATCAGTAAAGCCCAACAATAAAAGTTGTATTATTTTTTCTTCAGAATGAGAAGAAACATTTTAATTTTTGGGTGAGTTTTTCTGTCTGCATGTCAATGAGAGAAGTCTACTTCACACAGCCCTTGGTTATATCCATTTACTAAATCATTATCATAATTAAACTATACCTCTCCCTTCCCCTCACCACGAACAAAGTCCTCCATCATCCCCATTGATCTACAAGGGGTCCGCAAAACATCAATGATTGAGAAACACTGGCGTAGAGTATCACATGATCACTCGTACCATGTGATAGCCATGTTTTTGGCAGCCCGAGGTCAAATGTTCCCAGACGGAGCCGAAATTTCACTTTCGATGTCTGCTTATGTTTGAAATAAGATATAACAATATATACCCCATTTTTTGCAAAGAAAATGACATAGTGCCTTTTATTAGTGCTTTTTAAAGTGAAATCACTTATTTTCCCCAAATTTTCGCAACTGGGCGGAGTTGCTCTTTAAAGCATTACACTCACTTGTCCCAAAAGCTGGTTCAAACTCAAGCCAGGAGCCTCCGAAATCAATAATTATGTTTCTAACCTGCGTGTGCTATGCACATAACATCAGAGACCTCGTCCAGGTAGACGTCGTTGTCGAAGAGGTCCGAAGACTTTGTTCCGGGATCACTTCTGCTGTCCTTAACCTGGAGGATAACGCCGAGAAAACATTTGACGCGTGCTCACTTTGCTTAGGATAAAATCAAATTTCTGTATGTGACACCCTCAAGTAGGGTGTCAGAAAAACAGAGCCCGCAGAACCAAGCCGGTTGCTAAAACAATCGACAACTATACTTCGTTTTATTGCAACTTGGCAAAGAGCGAATGCTACGGCCCCCTCGAGAAAATCAGAGCGACTGAGGCGAAGCACGTGACAGCCCTTACCAAAAGGACAGGGGCGAGAGCGTAACCCATGCAGCTGGAGATGAAGTGAAAGAGGAACTCCCGTCTTACCCGGACTCTCTTTTGTGTGTTTAAGACGTGGCTTTTCTCCCTCTAGACGATAGGCCCGCCACTCAAGTTTCGTACAAGAGCGGCTTTCCTCTATCTGCCACCTGTGGCTCTGACAGCACTGCGCGCAACCAGTGAAAGAAAGCACAGTCATGCACTTCCCCCCAACGCGCTGATTGGCTCATCGAGACCGTAGCTTCCGCCATTTGCAGTGTTGGAAAGTATTTTAAGTACAATGTACTTAAAGCACTACTTTAAAGAGCTTTAGAATACTTTTACTTTAAGTACATTCTGAGTATGTACTTGTACTTTACTTGAAGTATTATTTTCTGGCACTTTCCGAGAAAGGTACAACTCCCAACTTAAAGCTACATTCCTCAAATTTAGTCTTGTTAAATTTGTATCACAAAATTATGTTTTGTCAACTGTAAAGCCACTTGCCTTTATCCAGTATTTGCTACCATTTCCGAAAATAGCTGATGCACCCCTGAACACTCCTAAGGCAATGCATACAAGTAAAAAAAAAAGAAAAAAAACCTGTGTAACAGCATAGTTGTGTATAGAGAGAGTTTGGTCAACGAGAGGCGCAGGCAGAGCCAGGGCGTGCACGAGATGCAGAAAATGGGGTTGACATGCTCTCTTGACCAACCAGAAGCCGAAAAGAATCCCCTAGCGGTGGTAGCGAGAAAAAGTTTTAATCATAGGTATATGGTTCTAATAAGTTTGTAAGAGCTAAATGTAGTAACTCTTCATGGTTGAAAACAGGGTGCACGTAATGTTTAGATTATGATCACGCAGAAAGATGTAAGAAACGAATGTGCAGCTCGAACTCTGCTTTGCTCGAACAGAGCGTGACCGCTCGGATGGCAGATTCCTGGCCCTCGGCGCTGGCGTGCAGATTATGTCGATCGTTCCACTGATAGTGCTCTTCCACTATGATTTTGGATGACCGTGACTGAAACATTAAGTGCACCATATTTTCAGTCACCACGAGTTACTTCGACGCGCTTATTAATTTCGTTTCTCGCGACCACCTACAGGGCATTATTTCTGGCTTCTGGTTGGCCACATTTGAATTTGTGAAGATGCCCTGGAACACACCCAGCACGCTTTCAGCCAATGGTGCCTCCTCATTTGCCCAATGAATGGCCAAACTCTCTACATATACTGCTCAGTGTAAGGGTATGAAAGGGCTGCATGAAAAATTGTTTAAAGTACTTGCACTTTGAAAGCGCTTTGTATCTATAGTACTTCAAGTACATTGCACTTGGTGTACTTACTCCTTTAGATGAAGTACACAACCTCTAATTTACTTTATGCTTAACTTCAAGCCCTTTGTAGATGTACTTCACCCAACACTGGCCATTTGCCAAGTTACAGTGACACAAAGTACAGTATGAGAAAGTCGGGAGAGAAAAATAATGTCCTACTTGAGCAATGAAGGCAAGCAATTCACTGAGGACCAGGCGTAGCTTCCTGGCTGCATCACTTCTCTCAAATTCTAGTGCCAAGGAGTTTTGTAGCGAAGAAATCAGGATGCTATCTCCAGAGTGTGCACCAAGCTTCAGCCTGGAAAGTGATTTAAACCAATTTAAAAGGCATGTTTATGCACACACAATCTAAAGCACCATTCATGTTGACAACAAAGTATAGCCTTGTCCAGATAGGGCTTATTGAAAGTGAAATGCAAAAGCGTTCGATGCCATTTTGATGCTTCCACGAGCTTGCTTTTCAAAAGGTTCTTTCCGTCAGCTTCAACCGTGCTTGTTTATGCAACTGCTGGTGCATTCTTTAACATAAGAAAATTTCTACGAGGGTTTCATATAAAATAAGATGACCTTGTTGACAATGTTTTGTAGGTCTAACTAAATGTGATCGCCATTTATCTACTGTCCTTTGTCAGCGCAGCTCAACCTGTAACGATGCACCATGCAACACATTGTGCAAAAGCTTAAAAGGTGCCCTGAGGAGGTTGTTCAGACTGCCTAAATATGGCGACAACTCACTCTGCTGGCTCTAAGCATCCTAGCAACCCCTAAATCACGATGATAGGCGGCTGACTTCCATATTAAAAAAGCAATCAATAGCAAGCGAAGAATCCTTGTGCCTCCTACCGGTGGAACTGCAGAGTGATATCTCGAATGTGCGCGATTCGTTGCCCACACAGCCCAAACCAAAGTTACTAGAACAACTCAGTTGGGAAACTGCCACAGAGCCTGCTTTGAAAAAAAAAATTACAGGAGGACATTTAAGAATGCTAATGTGTAGGAAGGCGAAAGCATTATAGTCCCGTGGGAGAAATGTTTTCGAGTAATGCTTCTACACATATTAAAGTTTAGGACGACGTAAAGAATGATGTCCTAGAGATTGACGCCAAGTATGGTGTCTAGGACGACCTCTAGGACGACGTCGAGGATGACGTCAAGGACGACGTCTAAAGGACACTTAAGGAGGCTGTGGCGTATTTGCGTGGGTGGCCACAATTGCCTGCGGAAGCCACCGTAAATGTAGATGCTGCTGCTGATGTCGAGGCCATAGATGCGCTCGCCTCACAGCCCATCGTACGAAGCACACAACGAGCACAGATGAAGTCCGAATCGCAACTTTTGCATACGCCACTCCGGCGGTGACATTACGCTCTTGCACTTCAGCGTGAGCGGCGCGTGCCGCTCAATCATACTTTTATGGCCCTATACACCACTCTTTCACTCAATAGGACAAATAAGGCTTTCGCCTTACAAGTGGCTTCGATCCGTACTCGAGAACAGCACTAAAGGCGATCACAACGCTGCCATTTTTCGCACAGCGGCCACTCCGGGAACTGCGTGTCTGAGTTCAGGTCAGGTCGTGCAAGGGCCAGTGGCGACATCTCGCAATGCCATTTTGCAAGGACAGAACGAGCGGGTTGGTATGGATAATTAAACTTGAGGAAGAAAATGAGAAGGGACGGACAAACACAAACTTCCAACTGGCAACAACCAGTTGCCAGTTGGAAGTTTGTGTTTGTCCGTCCATTTTGCAGTATCAATATAAATGAACTTTTGTTTTGACTCGTCGCGAAAGGGTGGCGTTTTTATCATATTTAGTTTGGTCTCGGAGCAGGCATGTAGCCAGGCTTTTGTATGGGGGGGGGGGGGCCGCCCATGACAAGATGCTGTAGGAGGTGGAGGGGAGAGAGGAGGTCCCAGCAAAATGAAATTTTTTTTGGGGGGGGGGGGGGGGGGGGGGGGGGGGCAGGCCCCATGTGCCCCCCCCCCCTGGCTACGTGCCTGTCACAGAGGACTCGAGCGGTCCAGGTTTCAAGGGTGGGTTTCCCGACCAAATGTTTTAGTAATGTTGGCTCGAACTATAATTCAACCCTGCAAGTGCGTGCTCGAGAGCTGACGACCAAACAAATCACTCGTGCAAAAGACAGAAAAAAAAAAAAAATCATAGTGCACTATTTTTGAGACAATTATTGCAGTTTTGTGTTCCCTCTCCGCTAAAAATATATTTAGACTAATCTTATTTGCTTTTACAGTGTACAAAAGCACACACATTTTGTAATAACAGCATTTGCAATCACAACGAAATGTCATGTTTTCATTGGCCACATGTCGTCCTGACTGTTAGAACAATGCTCCTCCCACCACCGGAGATGACCTCGGTGTGTTTGATCTTTGATTGCTTTTTTTAGTAGGGAAGTAGGCCACACATCGTTATGATTTATGGATTTTTAGAATGCTTAGAGCCCATAGAGCGAGTTATCGACATATTTAGGCGATCTCAGAAACCTCCTCAGGGCACCTTGAATATAACAGCATGACCAGAAATCATCTACATCTCAGAGAATGAATGGCACAACACAAAAACTATACTCCGTTCCACCTTCAGTCTGAGCGCAGTGGACGCCACGAGCCATCCCAGCCGATCCAGCGCCAGGAGATAATCGCGTGACCTGCCGGTGGGGCGGGGCGACACAGGGAGCTCAAGGTCGCATGACACTCCCTCAACGCCGCATTGGCTGGGATGGCTCCTACCGTCCGCTGTGCTCGGACGGAAGGTGAAACGGAGTATAGTCTTTTTTTTTTTTTTTTTTTTTTTTAAGGCTTTGTTAGAAGTTTGTACAATGATAGCGGCTTCTGGGGGCTAGGTTGCCGAGTGTGTCCATGCACCGCAAAGCTCGGAGCACAAGGAGCGAAAGCGCGCTCTGCGAAACCCAGGGGAGCTCAATCCACACCCCTTGCCCGTTTCGATCCGGACGAGCATCGTACTGGCGTGTGGTTGTGCATAACTATTGCTTGATGCACATTAAAGACGTCGGGCTAACAGTCGTACTGCATAGGCAAAAATTCTCACTTATAGCGGGGAAACCCACCGAGGGCTGACCTCCCGCGGATACACACAACACAATTACCTTACCGGCTTTCTCGCGTTTCCAGCCGGAACCTGCCCGTCTACCAGCGACTGACATCCTAACGAGACAGGCTAACATTTAACGAAGTGTTGGCCCCGCAATGACAGACAAGAGTTCACCAACTCAAAGCTAGTGCGCGAACGCGCGCTAGACAAACAGCCAACAAGCGGTCAAAACTAGTTGACCCGCCGGGACGGTGGTGGGACCGTTACCGTAGTTGCTGCTCCTTCTTCACGTCCAGCTCGAGCGCGTGGAAGTCTATGGACAGAAGGGCGACGAGCGAGTTGACCAGTTCGATGCCCGAGAGTATTTTGAGCACCGTTTTCTTCTTCTGGGCCCAGTCCCGGCGTTGATCGAGAGGCGAGCAGAGCGCCATGCGAACCAAGCATGGCAACAGCGGACGCAGCTCCCATTCCGGGAGCGCGGCTAAGTTATCCACGTCAACGTTCTGGATCGCATCATAGGCTCGCGGAGTCACTGGTACTCTCGGCTTTCCATTTAATTTCACTTCAGTCATGTTGCACTTGGTGGGTGAGCGGAGTTAGAGACGACCGGCGACAAGCGACTTGACGCGACATGACCACCGAATCAACAGGGTGGTTGGATTGGATTGGATCGATGTATTTGATGCCAGCCGCTGTAGCCACTGTAGCTGCCGAACCAGCACAAGGCAAACATTTACCTTTATGAGTTAAATAATACATAAAATCGAGATATTTGGCTTTATTTGATACTTGTTTAAACGAAATATGTTCAAACATTAGTTTAGACGAAAAAAATAAAATGTATTGTGACGTCATTCACTATTTTATGAACTTTTGGAGAAGAACGGAGAACGGTGAACAAGCGAGCACGCTTTGTTAACACGTGTGGTGCACTGGTGTGGTGGTGCAGGTGAATGGTGAGCCGGGCATTTTTCTCTGATTTGCTCATACTGTTGATATTCAGTAATTCTAGGTTTTAGGCCTCTACAGCAGCGACGTTTTGTGCAGTCTCCGGCAGTTTCTGACAGCACTCCCAATGGCCAACCTCGCACCAGGACTAGACCCTTCAGCCGCGCTGGGTGCCGCTCACCTGCTCAGCAGACCCGCCTCAGAGTTCGGCAATGACCCCACCGTGGAATCGCTGTGGGCCATCAAGGCCGTAGAGCACATGGAAGTATACTTCAACCTCATCAGCGCTGTCGATCCAAAACTCCTCAAGTTGACCCCGCACGACGACGCGCTCTACAAGGACTTCAGAGCCCGATTCCCAGCGCTGAACGTGAAGCTACTCGTCGAAGCCGAGCTGAAAAGCGAAGATTCAAAGAAACAGTGGCGGGAATTCTGCATGAACTACGAGGGAGTCGTGGAAGACTATAACTACGCCACCATGGTCCGACTGGACAGCGAGAGCGACTACAGAGAAGACAACACGACCCTCGTGCCCCGCGTCCAGTTCTACGCCATCGAGATCGCGCGCAACCGGGAGGGACACAACGACGGCATCAAGAACAAGTACGGCGCCACGAAACCGCAGGAAAGTTGAAGAACCCGCACCTGCTCACAGGATGGACGTGCAACGACAGTTGAGTTTGTTTATAAAGGACTTCTGCGCCGCGCAGCAACTCGACGAAGTATTACCGATCGAGAGCTTCAGTTTGGCGACTAAGAAGGGTACCAAGCAGCCGGCGGACTACCGAATCTTTGTGGGAAAGCCGGCCCACCGGGTGCTGCGACCACGGCTAAAGCTGCTCGCAGACGAACTCCTCAAAGTCAGCGCCTCGTGGCCCGTGCCTGTCGCCAAGTGTCACTTCGAGACGTCATCTCCCTACGTCGGAGTGCATCTCCACCGCACAGCAGCCTTCCAATCGTTATTCGGGTCTATCTTCGTGGAACATACTAAAAAGACGCTGCATGTTTGCAGACAAAAGGCTCTCATTTTCGTGCCGTTCCTGGACAAGTCGTTCAGTGCCGTTCGAACTGAAAAGCTCGCGGCCTACGCTTGTGCGTGTTACCTCGAGCAGGACGCAGAGGTTACCCTCTATATGAGCAGACCTGCCCTGGTGACGAGACAAAGCAACGGTGTCAACCTGATACCATGTATCGCAGAATCCGAAATAGACACAGCCACAGATTTTCGCTCGGTGGTCGAGCGCTGCAAGTATTACGACCGAGACACCTCGACCTTTAGCTTAAGGAGTTACCTTGATGAGCAAGGGGTCGACGTGTCCTCCAACTATGATCCAAACGTCGACAGTGTTCACGTTGAAAGTAGCGCCTTCGTCACTATGAGACTCCTCGCACAAATCTCCCGAGGCTGTATGTCGGAGCCACTGACGCTGTTGTTCGTAGTCCCCGACTCGAAGAGCTTTGCAGCGCAACAAGCTGGACTTTTGTTTGAAATGCTCTTTCTCCAACAGTTCCTTGGAGGAGACGTTGCCCCGAAGGTGCTTTACCTCACTCACGGGGGCTGTGTCGAACCGATAGACTGTTCTTTCGAGACATATCAAAGTGCGAGAGACAATTACATTCGAGAGGCCTTCCGACGTCCTAGCACCGAGCCCAGCCTCTCAAAGCGTTCCAGGACTGCGGAGGATGTTTTTCTGGAAGGCGAGGGCGGTACAAAGGAAGATATAAAATCGTCTGTGGGTGTGCTTGTAGAAACGGAGCTTGCTCTCGACTTCCTCTCTAGCAGGCAGAATCTGAGGATGAAGATGGGGGAACGACTGGGCTGTGCAGAGAATGGACACTATTCATTGCAGTACACAGCGGCCAGGATCGCAGCAGTGCTCGAGAAGTACGAACTTGCAGTCAATGAGGGTACGAGAAGCTTGCGACCATTGCATTAAGCTCTCTTCATTTTCAGTTTCCTCTTGTCCCTGTCTGCTTCATACTTTTCTTGATTTTCTTTTTTCACCAACGTTGATATTGTTGCTTTATAAACAAAACTCTATTCCCTTCAATCACAGCAAGCTCTGCTTTTTGAAAAGCTCAGTATGTCTAGAAGTGTTGTAGCTTACTATGCATTGGCAAATTGAATTAGCTAGACAGTAACTAAGCTACCTTAAGGACCCTAGAAATCCAATTTTCTCAAATGAAAAAGAATTATAAAAAAGTTGAAATGGGAATGGTGCCGGGGATGTGAGTCTATGAACCAATTTTGTTCTTTCAAAATATTTTAAAATGTGGCACTAGGAAGATTTGTAAAACAGTGAATGCAGAAATGGGCCATAGTATACAGTACACTCAGCTAGTATCAAGTTCTCTGCTTTGCGATTGGTGCTCTTGCTTGGCTTGACTAGTCTGGGTGCAATCCTTCTGCCTACCTAAATTTGAAATATAGCAAAGTAAGGACAAAGTTGCAGGAAGTGTACAAAACACTGGCAGCATATTTATCTTAATAGTTTGCATTCACTTTAAGCTCAAAGTATATGCCAGTTCCAGAACTTGCATGAGAACCACTTCTGCAAAACATCCTTGTATGCCCAGGCATTATCAATATGACATAATTTTTTTGATTGATCTATAGCATCCTTGTATACCTGTGATCAATCCACCGGCAAGACAGAACGGTGCAGCGAGACTGTGCATAATGCCTCCACTCATCCTTCCAGGTGCCTACCCAGCCTTGTGCAAACTGGAAGAGGCAGACTTCAGCCTGCTGAATCTTCAGCCCGAATGGATGTTGTGGCACAGACTCTCGATCTGCTGGCGTCTCCTCTTGGAGCCAAGCCCTGCGACGCTCCACGGCAACCCCATCAAGGTGGAGGTCAATGCGCATGCCCTCTGCAAGGCACTCGAAGGGCTCGGGTCAGAATTCAGCGCCTACTACAGCAAGGTCAGGATCCTTGTTCAGCCCGAGCAACACTTGCTGAAGACTCTCTGTGCACGTCTCTGGCTCCTGAAGGCTGTCCAGAAAACTCTGCAGCGGATTTTAAGGCGATTTGGTCTGACCACATTGAACAAGATGTGAAGCTATTGCGAGGGTCGATTTGGGAAAATTGCTGTATAGAGATTTTGTTCCTAGAGACTCAAGTTTCTTGAATCCTGGGACAGGCGTACCTTTCGTTTAAAGGCCAACATTCAGTTGGAGTCAGCAAGTCAAATATAGTAAGGACCCTTCATCGAGCTATTGATGACAGAGAGAGGGAACGGGTTCTAGCCCCGCTGAAGATGATTTTGCTGGTTGACCGAGAAAAAGTTGTTAGTTCTGTTACATATCATTTAGGTTGGTTCGCAAATTTAAAGTGTTAAATTTTTTTCTTTTGAGAGGGGCAAATGTATTCTAATAAAAAGCAATTTGTACGACTAATTTAGGACTGGTCATTCGTGCAAGTTTTCTACGGTCTCTTGAAGTTCAATATGCTAACCATGTTGAATTAACCTGAGACTGGGGTAGAGAAGAAACATCAAAACGTAGAAGAGACAGAAAATAGACAGGACGACGTCAGAAACATCAAAACGTAGAAGAGACAGAAAATAGACAGGACGACGACGTTTGAGACGTCGTCCTGTCTATTTTCTGCCTCTTCTACGTTTTGATGTTTCTTCTCTACCCCAGTCTCAGGTTAATTCAACATGGTTAATATTCACCAGCTCGCCTGCACCCTTACGATTTTTTCTATGTTCAATGTGCTCCTGCCATCACAAAATAAAGTTTCACAGGACAGTTTCGGAAACTCCGACGGGGCCTCTCGTGGACCCTACATTGCTTGGCACGGGGAATTGTGGGGCTGTTCCTATGTACACTCGGGCCGGCTCTTTCGCTCCATACACCCTGCAAGCGGCGCAGCTCGTACTCTCTTACCACTGCAAGTTCAAAACACATCATGAAGCCAGTACATACCCTGTTTTGTTATCGTACTGCTTTCTTTTTAGTTCTGAAATTTTCGCATGCCCTATGTTGGATTGCTGTAGCACGTCAAAAATACGATGGGAGGCAGTGTGTATTTCCGGAATGATCCATTAACTGTGGGAAAACTGTGTTGCACCCAATCGATAGGTAAATAGCCACTGTCAGGTGACTTACCTGTAGACATGCACAGCAATCGGAATAAGAATAATTTTTGCTAATATATTTCTATTACAATTCATAGAGCCCATCAAAGCCTTCTACGAATTATCAATGATTAGGGGCTTAGTAATTTTGAAAGTTCTGTATCAATTAGTAACTTGTCTCACTAAATTTCCATCACTTTGAAGGCCTTAAATTTTCTGCATTGCTAGACAGCTTAGAATTTTTAAGTCCTTGGCACGTAGTGTCTTGGCTGAACCGTTTAAAACTGCTGCTGCAGTAGAACCTCCTGGGGGGCCAAAATGAAACATATACGAGCCAATGACAGAACGCTGACCACGGAAAGAATCTCCTATGCACTTGCACCTTTATCTTTTTGGCTTATTACCGTGGCAGCAGACCACATTTGCTATTCTGTCGTTTCGCTCTTCGATGGCCACATTCAAGACTGCAGACATCGCCGGAGTATGCTTCATCTCGTGTATGAAAGTTATTCCATTGCATAATTTTGCGTAGATGTTCGGTGAATAACGTCCACCAATTATAGCATGTGTATTCGTGGAGTTCCTAAAATACCCCCGTCCCAATATAAATGCTAAAAGGCATGCAAACCTTTTACCCAGAAATGAACTCCAGAAAATAGGTGACCAAGTCATGATGGAACCACATTGCATATTGGGATTGAAATACCCATCCCGACGTGCAACGTCTCGTATTTTGACAGAAAACGTGGTTACAGCACAGACTGTGCAACATTGTTAGTGCACGCACGACTTTGGCACTCTCACATTTTACTTTGAAAGGGTACTGGCGAGCACCAAAATTTACCACTTGGGTTAATACCCCAAGTGAGCACTTTCCACTACTCTTGTGGTTCTGATGACAGTCCTTCAATACCCAGAGGAAAACAGAAAACCAGTGATGGCTTGTTCGTGCTAACAGTGTCGTAGAGCATACATGGAAACACCGTGGTCAAGAGCATTTTTCTTATTAAGAAGGTAGATTAGCGGAATGCCCAAATGAAAAATTTTCATGTCTTTGGGAAGTTCTCCACGGGAGGGTCTCAAGACCTAAGTTCGCAACATGCGACTCTATCCCATCTGACCCATTTGAAAGACGAGACCATAACTGAGCAGCTTTAACTCCTTAGCCATTTTCAGTTTCGGTGGATATCTGACCCTCAATTGCCTGTCTTTAAAATTACATTTGTTGCCTTCAAGATCAAGTTTCTAGTCACTAACAAAATGGGAGCAAAACTTAAAAATAATTTGGTGCTGCCATTTGTTGGCAGCACCAAATTGCCAATTGTTGCAGCAGTGGCAGAGCCGCGAACTAGGCCATGAGCGAGCTTGGTTCGTCCAACATGGTCCAGTGCGTGAACCGGGGAAAGCAGACGAGCTACACTCATTCCGAACGGTTTGAGTATGGCTCCACATGGACAAGACTAAACTCGTCCAAAACGGCCTAACGGGTCAAGCGCCAGACACATGCACAATGAAATTGTACAATGTGTCGAAGAGATGGGCCATGCCAACCACGACCTCAGAGAAACCACGGGTCACGATCAGGGTTGTAAAAGTTACTTCAAAAATGTACCTAAGATACAGTTACAGTTACTCATACGAAAATGTACCTAGGTACGTATCTACCTACTCGCTTAAAAATGTACCTAGGTGCAGGTACAGTTACTTCAAAGGTACTTTTTATTTTCACGCCAAGTATTTTTTCTCAAATTTGTCATATTATTATTAGAAGTAAATCCTTTGTATACTGGGATGTAAACAAAAACAAGTTTGATAAGCATGCTTTATTGGTGTCAATGGGCCCGCCCTGTTCCCGCCCTGTTCCCGTGCGCTAACTACCAGCGAAGTCAAAGCTAGCGCGAGCGCAATGCTCTGTGCATTCCCGACTCGCGCGTGGGCTCGTGCAGTGTGGGCACCGTTGCGGGCTCCATGCGCGCGCTTGTAGCTTCGGCTGCGCTCGCACCGAAGCTGAAACGAAGTATAGTTGAGTTTCACCAAACTCTGGATGTAGTGCTGGTAAAGCCTCACCGTCCTTTTCGGAGCACAAAGCACTGTGCGACTCGCGCGACTGGGGTGTCTGCTCCGCGGGTGTCGCTTCTCTGCAGCGCGTCGGTGCATGCCAAGGAGCGCACTCAACGGGTTAACTCGCCGTGATCCGATCGTGACTTCGCCAGCACATCGAAAATGAATCGGAATTTTTGAAGCAAATATCAGATACCGCAATATTAGAAGCTGCTGCCCAAAGAACAACTCTAATCTTAACTAAAACATTCCACAACAATGAGGGTCGTTAGATGCTGCTGCAGATACCTGAAAAGAAGTGCAGGCTGATAAAACTAAATATCCTGTACCATCAGAACTCAGTGTTACATATTTAATTGTATTTTTTTATCTGACGAGCAGATAAACTTCATTTAAAAAAATTAAAAAATGTTTTTTTGTGTTTACTTTGTTGAATTTTATATATCCTGTCTTAAAAAGGCGACAGGCGCTGTGTTCCAATAATCGAGATGGGCTTTATATAGCAATGCAGCATTATTTCATTTTCAAGTAATATGCCAACATATGCCGGACCCTGCTCCAAAAGGGCCACTACCTGCTCCAAAAAAAATTTCGCCTGCTACAAGGCCTGCTCCAAAAGGTCAAATGGCACTTCCATCACTGTGTAAAGTTTGTTATGCACCGTACTATGTGCGTTTACGTCCGTCAGTCGGCCAAGAGATTGACGTCGCGTCGCACGTCAGGGTAGCAACTTTTCGTGCGTACAATACGCCTGCTACTGATTCGTCGTTGTTCTCAACTGCGGATATTCGATAACTGGGACTTAGAACTTTGCAGAACCCCCTCGAAACCGTTGTTTAAAGCCTGTCCCTGCGTCAACTCACTCTTCGTTTTCGACGTGTTTCGACCCATTCACCACTCTGACTTCACCTATATATTATATATGACGAAGTAGAGGTCCCTCGGTAGAACAACGGAAACTTTGTTTTCAACGTTTCAACCGGAGTCCGGTCTTCGTCAGGAATGGGTAACAAAGAAAGGTTTGGTCATACTTATCCAAAATTACGGTACAAGTCCATTTTTCAGGGCGTCTGGAGCGACGGTAAGAAGTCGTTACAAAGATGTCCGGGTGTGCTAGGTAAACTAAACTTCCGAGAAAATGAATCGACCCACAACAATTATCTGTAAGCTGCCTTGTCATTGGTCATTTAGATATCGTCTTCATTTTAGTTTTACTGGAAGCAACCAATTTTTCCCTTTTTAATGCCCGCACGTCCAGAATTTTCCGCCGCTGTTGACCATCTTTGGCATCTGGCAGAAATATCGTTTTCGTCTCAAGTGCTAGTGCTGAAACCTAGTTGGACTAGTGTCCTGCGCCGCTGAGCTGTTCTGACACGGTGCAATAAGTATTAACTAGCCATGCTTTGCTTTTTCAAGAGGTCTCGCAAGGAAGAACTAAAGAGTGTCGACAAGACCAAGACGAATGTCGACGGGGTAAAACGGAAAGACCCGAATGTAGCACAGGGTCTCCACAACATAGAATAGCAGCAGCCCAGCCATCAGTGGCTGACTACATCAGGAGCTCGAAGACTCCGTTCGGCCAGAGTACGAGTGCTTCGATTATCTGCCCTTGATGTTTGTATCCTTCTACTGCTGCAATAAGTTTTGACAACGAAGCCTGCCAGTTTTGTTGTGCTTAATTATGTAAAATGAACATTTACATATCTAAGGTCTCCCAATACTATTTTCCGCACGTAATTATAACTGTGACTCTGGAAGTAGTATTTGTAGCGGGTATTTTAGAAACCAGGAGGGAGTTTCTTCAGACGTAGGTATTTTCAGTTTTGTAAAGTGCAAAATTTGAGTTCGATTTATTGCATGGAAACACTACGTGATGTTAAATTGCTTTAAGACTGTAATTATAATTTATTTTCAGTTATATGTTATATTGTATTTTCTACAATTTTGACAAAGTGAATAAAAGAAGTACCTGTAAAAAGTAACTTCACTTAGTTACAAGTTACTGGAAAATGTACCTAAGATACAGATACTGAGAAATGAAAGTACCTAGGTTTGTACCTCAGGTACAACAAAAGTACCTAGTTACCGATTTAAAGTTACTTGTACCTAGGTACTTTACAACCCTGGTCACGATGCATCTTTCAGTTTTTCTTTTCACAGATCCAACGTTTTCGTCGTGCATACGCCGGCTTAACAAGAACTCTTGAATGCCACTGTAGAGTACAACCGTCCAAGTTCTGAAAAGTGACCTACACTATTGTCACTGACAGAATAGGAGAGAGGAGTTTCAATTGTCTCGTCCCAAGCGATTCGGCGTCTTGTGAGCCCCGAACATGCATGCGCAGCCAAAGCACTGCAAAAGAAAGGCAACTATACTCCGTTCACCCTCACGCTCAGACAGTAGCCAAGGTTACGAGTACGGGCTAGCCCAGGGGTGGATCCAGAACTCCGTTTTTGGGGGGGGGAGCGGAAAATTTGTAAGGATACTATTCTCCCATTGGGGGGGGGGGGGGGGTTTGTGTGCACAGGGGGGTCCACCTATGTCAATTTGCCCTCTGAGAAGGGGGGGGGTCGACTTTGTTGAGGGGGGGGGGGGCGGCGGCCGTCCGTCGTGTGCGCCTGCTCCCCCCCCCCCCCCCCCCCCCCCCTTGGATCAGCCCCTGCTCCTGGCTTTGAGACATACCTTGCTAGCTCGAGCGGTCGTTCTGCGGAAAAATGTTTCAAAGCACAAGCGATTCTCGGAAATGGTGGCGAATATTGGATAAAGTCAAGTGGCTTCAGAGTTGGCACAGCATCATTTTGTGATAGAAATTTAACGAGACCAAATTTAGGGAAGGTACTTTGAAGTCGGGAGTTGTACTTTTTTACAGTGGCAAAGTAAGATAAAAAGTGCTGACATTGTGTGCCGAGTGTCGTGCAAGGCATGAGGCATACCGTGGGCTGTAATAGTACAACTTAGTTAGTCATCTAGGCTAGCGCAGACGTGCAAATTTGTTTTGCTGTACTTCAGCTTCTACATTGGTAGAAGCTGGTTGTTTCTACCAATGTTTGAACCGTTTCCTGCTATACTATGTGACAACTTTTTCTGGCATTTCAGAAGTGAAGGTTGTGTGTGCACAGCTTTAATGGGTGCTCAAGGTGCCCATAGCTTTTGCTTCACTGGCAGAATAAGATGTCCCCAAGTAGACATGTCTCGTTAATATGAACCCCGTTGATATGAATAGCCTGCTATACAGATAACATTTTTGGGGACAAATTAGGTAAACACATCCGTGCATGTCTCATTATTATGTACAAGCCACATTATAGGCACTTTATGGGGAGAATGAAGGTGCCCCTTTTAAAGAGATATCACCCTATAGGAACAGTCCTTGTGGGAAAGTTCCACTTCATTTTATAGCACAGAATTCAGGCAGTTTGGTTTTTTTTCCAAAATGCAAGGCTTAAAACACCCCATATAAGTGAAACTAAAGGACACCGTACAAAAGGTGCATTGCAAATGTGCCATAGAGTTTTATTGACAGACTAAGGGCTCATAGGCTTAACAACGAAGGTAAGAAAATAGGACGTACTGGGGAAACATTACTTCGACACCTGTACATTCATTTGCATTTGGCAAAAGCCCATAAGGAGATGCCTCCACTCGTGCCTCCTTAATATCAGAGATGCTCTCTTCCACCAACATTTTTGGTATAACAGCAACCATCCCACCCTGGATGCAATACAGTGAGGATCACACAACAAACTGTGGCACTTGTGCGAGCTGGAAAGCCTGCTTGTGGTTTGTACCACAGTTGACAGCTCCCGTTTTTAAAGGCCCTCTGCTTCTCGTGCACTCTGCAGCCACAGGTCGGCACCCGGTACGCTTCACTACATCCTCGAACGATGCTGAAAGTTTAAAACATATGAACAGCGTTGTTTTTAAACCTTCAATTGGTTTATTTAATTTTTGGGTGCAAATAAAGACTGCGACCCTCGTATTTATTGAAGTTGAGATAAAGCCTAAATTTATGTTGAGTACTACTAATATCCTAATATTTCGAGGCCTGCGAGAGGCATTCCATTTGGCTGTTACTGGAAAAAGGAATTCACTGGATATTAACATACACCAGTCACTGTAAAGGCACTTGAACAACAGGTGAATTGCAACAATGACATCTGTTCTCAAAATGAGTATGGTCATCCCTTTCCGGTCTCGAGCCTCTGCAGAATATTCCGAAGACGTTGAAACGACCTTGTGAATAAAATTATGCACGCTATGATTGTCCAATAACTATGTATGAGCATGAGTGAGGAACATCGTTGAGTGAATGGTTAGGTTGCGCGCCGACCCACGCTATGCTATCACGGTCGATGATCGGTCACTCCGAACTGAAAACGGTAATGGCCGATAAGACTGGGCGGCAGGAATGGCACAACGCACTCGAAGCAAAGGTTCAGCAACGTCATTCTCCGGGAAGAAAAGACGACGAAAATTGCCGTACAGAAACAATCTGCAACGACGACAGAGCATTTCTGTGTGCTTGTAGGGAGCGGCGTGACTTAAAAAAAGAGTGCGATTCTGTTCTGCACACTACGGAATGCTGTGCCAGCAGCATGCGTGCGTCTGGAACGTGTGGTTCGGAGACGCGTATCCCTTCCGGACTGCGGCGACCGTCCGTCTAGGTGGTGTCGAGGCGGATGGTCCTGAGCTTCTGTCTGTCGGCCAGGATGCATGCCGCTTCGTTGGATCCGCCACAATAGTGGGAGGACGAGAAGACCGTCAGGAGTTTTCCTTTCTGCTGGACCTGCGTGATGCAGACAGGATTCGTTCAAATGCGCTCGATCCACGTCAGAAATGCCGGCGAGCTGCCCGTCGGTTGTACGTTCGACTCTCGGCAATTCAACGTTGCCTCGTTCAAATTTTCGGTCAGCTCTCCAACCGGTGCACTTAGCATCCACTTGCGCATCCAAAGTGGTCCCAAAGTGGCGACGAGCGACGTCACAAAAGCCGGAGTGTCGTGACGTCGGATGTCACAATCCCGGCAATACGCTCCAAATGCTAGTGTTTAAAAAAAAAAAAAAAAAAACGAAAAAAACTGTAGCGTCATCTGGTGGTCAAAATAGGAACAATCGGTACGTTCCTGGTTTCCGAGGGCGAGCTGGCGTTTCCCAAGCCTCGTTTCGTTATCCACAGCATCGCAAACGAAAAAAAAAATAAGCGCCGATTATTTATTAATTTTTTGTTCGCGTACGAGTGCTTTGACCACTTGCCTACTAATAGCGAGTGTTACTTGTACCACTTTTAAAGATTGTACAACATGACCATGAAAGTGACTCGCGTTTCGGTTCTGGCGCTTGCTTAGCGCACTCTCTGGCAAATGGCTAAACCACCCCTGTTGCTCCATTTACCTTGGGTAGTTTGCTCGTTTCTTTTGCTGTTTGACAGAAAAAGAATGCTGCATTTAGCCAAAAAAAAAAGTCGCTCGTGAGCGTTCATGCTACAACAACTTGGCTTTGATGCAAAGGTCCGCTTTAGCCAACAAAGAGATACAAAACCTTTTTAAAAGAGATTAATGCTCAGGCATATGTAATGACGAATTCTTCGGTCTTTCCAATTTTCAGGAATGGGACGATAGTTTGATGGGCAGTGACAGGACATCAACTTCGGCGTCTGCACGTCAGTGCGACCCAGACTAGAAGTCCTGATTTAAAGCAAGATATGACACCTGGAAGTCAAGGAAATGTTTTCATCTTATTTTAACGCGAATTGCCCGTTTAAAATGAAATTTTGCTGTACGTTTATTGAAGAAATAAATGAGTAGGCAAGGGGTTAATGGCTGAATGGATTAAGCTGAGAAGCAAGGCTTCGTGAAATTCTAATGATTTCCGGGCAAGCCGTAGGAAGTGGAGCCGGCAGAGCATCAATGGCAATGAATCGCGGCGGTTCCGCGGAGTGACCAGCCACGTAAACTCCGATTGCGTCTTTTTTTTATTTTGACCTAGTTCCTACAATTCAGATTTTCCTGTAGCCGGCACAGGCTACAGGAAATACCTAGTGGCAGTCCGTGAACGGAGAAGCTAAAAGGCCCGGAGCACCTATTTTGTGGGGATTTGGAACTCTGCGGACAGATCATTTTTGATGCGAAAGGCGCAGCGAAGGGGAAGATAGGGTCGAAGGCTAAACTATCTACTAAGCCGAGGCGGCGTAAAAACTCCTCAGGTAAAACAATTTGTTTAAAAGAAGAAAAAACAATGGAAACAGTCGTCGTAGAATCGCTTGAGCAAAACATTTCGCCACGACTTTGCCAACTTGCCGGTTGCTGCAGCATGAATCATCCTCTCTTTCACAGAAAACAGGTGACTGTCAACATAAGGCTATACTTCCCTAGCCTGAAACGCTTTACTTTAAAATATAGTACAGTGTCATTTATTCTGTCGAGTCGCAAAAGCGCTCCGCATGGCCACTCCCGCACTCCCCGCCGCTGCTTCCACACGGGAACATACAATTAGCTCTTAAACCGACCACAGGAGGCGCTTATGGCACGATAGACGGTGGTGCCGTAGCAGCACGCACGAAGCATATTAAGCCTAGAAGTTAGAAAAATAAAAGAAAAAAGTCGCCCCTTTGCCGTATTAGCATGGCAAAGGCAGTGGTAATGTAGAATGTGAACTGTGAGGGTGGGGAAACTGTGTCCACATGTTGAGAATGGATGGCACGAAGCGGTCCTTTGTCGTGTAAGGTAAGCGCCTGAGCATTCCGCGAATGCCTCGGTTATGGGTGCCATTTTCTGCGGTTGCGGCAAAAATGCGACTTTCTCGGAGCCTGTCAGAGTGCGAGATGCAACAGAAAGAAGCGGGCGCAAAATGGAACGACTGGAATGCGGCAGTGCCAAGGGGAGCCCTCGTGCCAGCTTGCAGCAAAAGAGAACCAACCTCTCAATCTGTACCTAAACCCGCTGCAGCAAAGCGAGTGTCTGTTTCTTTTCTACCGCTCTCTCTCGCCCTTTCTCCAGGAAGGCCCGGAGCGCGCTCGTTTCACCAAGCAGAGCGCCGCAGTATGTCCAAACACACAACGTTTTTCCCCCGCCGGGAGTTATGCGGATGCACTTGAGGAAAAGGTTCGGCTGGCACCGGCATCCGTTTATTGCAGAGAAAAGCACTGCATTGGTGTTCGGCACTCGGCCCGTCAACTTCTGTTGCCGGCACCTGGTTAGGTGCCAGCCATAAACACATTCCGCGTTAAAACATGAGAACGCAGGTGTCGCTGTTGTCGCGGCTAACTTAGGATGACCACCTGTCCTGCGACTTGCGAACAACGGGGCACGGGGAAGCGCGGGGGTCGCTGGTAATCGTGTGAATCGCAATGGCATGGAATTTTCTATCCAAACATTGCAAGAGGCAACCGTCGTTTTTGCAGGAGAACCGACGCGCATGTGCCATTGTTCCTCTCCCTTTGGTAGCAAAATATGGTAAGAAAAATTGCTCGCGAAAACTTTAAATATAAAATATTGTAAGTACTTTCAAATTGCTGTGTCAATGCGAAAGGGTTGCTGTGGATTTTTTTTTTAGTGAAGACAGTCACACGACCAACGGTCGAAAAAGAACATAATATTAAAAATTTGTGTTGGACCATGTTGATAAAAGTAAGCGTTGACAGGAAACAATAACCCGAAAAAGATTTACTGTCTTATTTCCATCTGATGCAAGTTCTAATACAGTTTATTTTTATTTTTTTTTTTCAACTTTGACACATTTAATAACATGTTTGGCATTAAATAATATATATCACTGGGAGTGGAAATTATTTGAGCTTAATTGCTGCAAAACAATTAGTAGGTATATAAACAGTACAGGATATTAAATCTGTTAACAAACCCTCGGTTTGTTGTGTGCCGTGTTAATAAATTTCCTCTAACCCCCTCCCCGCATCCTGCCCCTTGCGTCCCGCGTTTTGCTAGCAGGAAGGTGGTAACCCTATCCCAACTCCCGTCTGCCGAAGCTTCCCTAGTCAAGCCGGAGCATGGAGGTAGGAAGCTTCTGGAGGTCACACCAGGCCACCAGAGGTGAAGCAACAAGTGAGAGGGGTGTGGCCCCAACAAGGGCGTTTTTTGGTTTTGGCCATCGTTGGGGGCATGTCTCTCCACACATCTGGCTTCACCTGTGGCGGCCTCATGTCGCCTCCAGAAGCTTCCTACCCCCATGAGTTGGAGAGTGACCTGCTGCAGAACAGGCGTCTACCACATCCACCACCGCCGCTGCGACACCGCCGGGATCGCAACCAGCGACGGTGCGATGCCTCTGCGACGTCGCCGGGCGGAAACCGAGAGACCAATTTTTGGGACGCAGCAAATGCGTCGTTCGGAGAAGCATTTTACGCATCGTAGCATCACGTTCCGCGACGCCCCAGCCGCTCACCTGGAAGCCGGCCTGCTGCACCTCGTGGGCCCTGACGACGTGGGAGAGCTCGTTGCGAGACAGGAACTCCTCGAGGGCCTCGGCGCTGAACATGTGTGCTGTGCCACGCTTGGCATTCGGAAGGAAGGCCTTCTGTGCCTCTGTGGCGGCTTCGCTCCTGCAAAATGCCGGCCGAGTGAGACAACGTTCAGGGATGGCGTTTGACCCGATCCAGACCTCCTTGCTTTTCCTCAGTACGACTATAGACCTTCCCAAGAAACGCTCGGCCCTAGGGACAACATAACTTTTTTCGAGCCCAGTCACTGGGCTTGAGGCTACTCTCACTGTTGTCCCTGCTAACCCTAACCGAGTGGAATGTGATATCGATAGCCGCAATTTTAAACACTGCTGGCAGCTAAATTCTCGTCTTTTCCCACCGTTTTTTGCATTCCATGGTCTATGCATACTTCCAAGAATATTAAAAAGCATTGTACATTAAAAAAAAAAATTATATTTGGTGAAAGAAAAAACGGTTAAAGTGCAGGCGAGCTGGTGTAAGTTATACATTATAATTGAAGGTTTTCAATCATCATGTATATTTGGTGAGTATGTCTGTGACAGATCGAATGCGACTGGAATGTTTGTTTTATTTTACGTTAAGTTTGAACGGCGCCGCTTGCTCAGCCACGCATGAAACGACAAAGCGCTTAATCGTCGAAAATAATTTACAACCGAACATCGCTGAAAGGCACGCATATATCACGAGCACAAGAACGCATTTACCGATAGACTGGACCAGACATACACAATTCTGGGAGTGTTAACATTCTAACAATACATTGTAATACGTGTCACACAGTGCAGCGTTAACAGAAAAGGAGTTATAAGATCTCAAATAACACAGCACTACAGTGTCGATGACAGTCACATCTCAACGATCGGAGGGAACCTAGGAGGATTTTGTTTTGGGGCACGTTTTGGGGAGAGCTTCCTTCTTCCCACCAAGGCAAAGGAGTGGACTCGACTGACCCGTTCCCAACCCGACACAAACAACTATTTTTGGCGATGACCGAGAAGGACTCTACGCGGATTATTTCTGGGAGGGGACAGGAACAGTTGTCATTGATCGCGTCGAGGCCCGAGGACCGTTCCGACGTCCTCCCCTCCTTGGTTAGCGCGAATGTTGAGCAGAAACGCTCGACTGGCACGCACATATCAGCCCTATTTCTCACGGTGGAAGATAACACAAAAAGGGTATGCAGCATGTGTAAGAAAAATTAAGTTTCGAGAGAGGTCGGACAACTTTGAATGCAAGACCGCGAAACATGGGCGGAGAATTGTGCCAAGCAGGTTTCAACAGTCCGAGAGACTGGCAGAAACTTTCTAGCCGATAGGGGGCGCGAGAGTCACACCGCCGGCTGCATCGTCGTTGGCAACGTGGCGGCGGCTTAGGGGCGTTTTTTTGGAAAGGTGTATGATCACGAACGAGGTAAAAATGGCAGGGACGAGCTTCGGTCGTCCCATCTCCGGCGCAAGCTTTCCACCTTGGAAGACACTTCGGCATTTCGCCAGCATCGTACAGGTGCGCGCGGCCAAAGCACGGTGGAAGGCCACACGTTCAAAAGACGTGCCCCGCCGTATTCGCCCAAATCTAACACCGCCTTTGCAGTGCCAACTACGGCCACCAGATACGCTTTGCTTCGGAGAAACAACGCTTCGGCCATCTGGGCGCATAAAATTGTGGCTGCCAGTCATCCGTCTCCTGTGTTTTGTCCGAAAACACAGGAGACGCTTCACCATCCCCTGGAAACATCTAAATGGTTTGCAAGGAACGAAATGACGGTGGCCGAGCTTCCCGACGTTGTGCTCGAACCTCAGTAAGCGGCACTTTTCCAACCCCCAACCGTCTATGCGAGGCCCCAAGCCGGCGTCCTTACGAGATGGGGTCGCTCCACATGAGCTCCCAGGCCAGTGGAGACTGGTTCTCGGGGTCGTTGAGGGGCTTGGGGATCTGATTGATGGCCGCCAGGAACCCGCCTCCCAGCCACGGGGGAGGGATGCCCCCGTGCACGCAGAAAACCTGCGACAATCCGCCCATCGTTTACTTGCTGCCAAAAAACGACACTACGGGTACCGTGTCGCACCTGCTCCGGGCATTGCTGCCGGGTGTGTATGGCCGTGGTCGCGGATTTGGAAGCTCTTGCCTAGACGCAAAACTGCACGTACCGCGGGGGGTGCGGCTATTAGTTAAGTCTCCGGATACATGAATTGTTGTACCTGCACTGTGTTTTGCCATGCTGAGGCTATTTATAGTTTCGAAACTAGATGCTCCGTGCACGTGATGTGCTCGCTACAATCGCTTCGCACGCCGGTTGCTCTGGCAGTAGTGGCCAAATTCCCAATTCACACTTCCCACGCATTTTTTAATTAAACTAAAAAAACCAGAACTGGTCACTTGTGAAAAATCTCCGTAAAGTACCTCTGGTTCAATGTCCGAGACCACTGGAATGTTTTGAAAGCGGATGCGCCAAAATAAAACCGAATGGAAGAAAGGTGAGAACTTTTCGCCTTATTTGAACTATCCCTTTCAAAATTAAAGGAAGTTCCATTGGTGGATTCTTAGGAAACGCGTTACCTTGAGTCTTGGGAAACACCACACACGTCCCTCTTTGGGAAACGCTAACACTGGGCCCTTCACTTTTCTCCTTTGGCTTTTTCTTTCGTTTCCTCTATTTTTAGCTGCCTCTTTTTTTGTCTCGATACAGGGTCAGTGTTAGCAATTCCCAAAGGGGACGAGTGTGGCATTTCCCAAGGACCATGCTAACGCATTCCCTAAAGATCCACCAATGGACCTTTCTTAAATTTTTTTCCGCCTACTCGGACCAGCTCTAGTCCTTCTTGGTTCACACTCCATTTTTAGCACAAACCGAGGCCTATGTGCTCCGCACCTGAAAGTTCAAACTCTCCCCAGCCGTTATGAGACGGCAATTCGTTAGAACAGTGCTTCTCAAATGGGGGTCCGCGAAGGCATTCTAGAAGTCCGCAAAGCCCAGCCACATCAGTCAAACCCAGGATAAAAGGGGTCTCTTCTCATATTGAGAAAAAAACATTCCCGTTTTCCGGGCGAGTTTTTTAGTCTATCTGTTAAAAAGAGAAGTCTGCTTCACACAGCCCTTGTTGTATTCATTCATTAAATCATTATCATAATTAACCTATACGTTTCCCTTTTCCTCACCACAAACGGGGTCCTCCATCATCTCTGCCGATCCACAAGGGGTCCGCGAAACATCTATGGTTGAGAACCATTGCATTACAAAATAAAGCATACACGGGTGTGCCTATGCAGGAAGCTTTCACATACAAGAACATAAGTGAGTGTCTCGAGCAAGAGAGGCTTTGCCGCACATCATTTGAGAATGGTAAACTGGAAACTTGGAAAAAATACTCGCCTTCGAGTCGACGATGGCGGCTATTGGCATGACGTCGAAGCAAGCGTTGATCTGCTCCCAAACCTCCACGCCGACTCGATCGCCAAATTTATTCACGCATTCGCTGCGAGAGAAGACGAAAGAAGACTTGGTACGTAAGTATGCGACTCAGAGTGTCCGAGGAGTGAATGAGGTACTCGTAAAAAACGGAATGCTTGTTATGCTCCCTTCGCCGCGTGATCATGTTCGCGCCCACACACACGAGCAGTGGGCGGGGTCAGGCGGTGAAAGAGACGGTTGATAGGTTAGGCGAGCGCGTGGCTTCCATTGCACCGTCAGCTTAGGCCTTAGTGGAGTATATTCCGGAGTTTGTGACTCGAGCAATTGCAAAGCACATCAAACGACTTCAGGCACAACCTAAAAAGAAATATAACGCCAGCTCAATCATGCTGGCAAAGAGCGGGGAGCACAGAGTGTGTTGCAAATGAGCTTAGCACATGCCATGTGCATCACGTGACGCCAGGACGTCCCTATACACATTGTGCGGAGGTAAACAAAGACAAATGATGGCCGAACTTCCGGCGGGAGTATTTTGGTTTTGGTTGGCTATCAATTTTGCCTTTATTTTTTTTTAGGACCCTCAGCGAGTAGCACATACTTTAAAAGCGCCACCACCAAGGACCATAACTGCGGTGCCTCCTGAAATTTACTTTTACGGGATCGACATCCCTTCTTGTTCCCTTGGGTGAAGAGAAAGAGCACTTGTTCCTCAAGGAAATGACAAATCTGCCGAAGGTAGCATGGGCGCACCTTCAAGACTACCTATTCAGCTTGCCTGGTCCATATACTTAACAATGTCTTGAAGCCTACAAATCCCTAAATGCGTTCCAACTACTTTGTGAATGGCAAGGCATCGGCGGTGGGCACCTATTTCCCCCAGGTGCCAAAGATATGTGCCGAGCTTCCCCGCAGGAGTAGCTGAGCTGGGTCTTGGTTTTAGCAGACAATTTTCCAAAAGATTTTATTATGCTTCCTTCAGTGCGACGCGAGTCTGTAATGCACAATTTTCTAGTATTCCGACTTGCTTGCAATGGTATATTCAAGGTTTGTTTTTCAAATCACCGTGCACATTGCATTTGTACGTGCCAAAATGGCCCAATGTTATACAATGATTGGGCAAATTGGGCCAGAGATGGGCCAATCATTGTACAAAACTGCAGCCCATCAGTTATACGGCGCCACTTTCTCGCATTGTACCATCTGTCGACCGCACATTGAAGTAGGCTAACACCATCTGCCAAAGCCGCCGTCCTATGCACTCAAGATCGACATTGTCAGTGGCGTTATTTGGAGATAATCAAAATAACTTTACTTGTGACATTTTGTTTGTCCAAGTACGCATCGGCAACACGCTGAACCGAAATTTGGATTTCGGTTCAGCGTTTGAGAGCGCGCGCTGAGGAAGCTTTACGAGCAGACTTTCGCGACGAACAACCAAACCGTAGGGAACAAAAAAAAAAGAGAGCTTGCGCTTTTTGGCGCGCAATGGACCGCACATGATGCTATAGAAAAGCTCTTTGAGAGAGACCGCGCGCTGCCCCCGCACCCGACCACGTGCTATGTTCTCCGCGCTACTCCACGCCAGATTGGTTGCGCTGGCTCGAGTCATTCGCTACGATCCATCTCAACGGCGTAGAGGAGCAGGCGCATATTTGCACACGTACGGCTTTGCAGCAAAAGCGACCGTGTTTCGCTGTACATTGGTGGTTTTTCTGCCGTGCTACCGTGCTATCTGAGCCCGCGTGCATTCCCTCGAAAAGCAATTACTGGATGCGGAGTCTTCCCGAGTTCGAGCTATCAAACTTTTCCTCCCATAGAAATGTATGGGCACTCGCAGGGACTTTTGAACACTATTGAATTAAACGAAAAGTCAAATTAACCGAGGTCGAACTAACGAAAGTTTACTGTAGTAAAAAAATAAAGGAGAGAGAAATTGAGAATAGGCTACGATTATGCTTATGTCCTATTGGTAAGGCGATGGCAAAACAAAGTTTTTGCCCATACTAGAGTGTACTAGAAGGACAGAGTGGGACGAGCTACAGGCTCCGCTCATGCTTTCAGTTGCACCTCAAAATGTGGAAAGCGATCAGGTGGACCCAAGCCACTTTGATCGCAGTGCCACCTTTGTACAGTATACTAGAAAGGACTGAGTGAGACAACCGAAGCGTTTTTTCGGCGTCTCCACTTGTGGAACGATCTTGGTGTTGAAACGCAACACATTTTTCATAAAAACCGGCTAATCCGAACCGCTTCGCTAGTATTGCTCGAGAGGGCGCTACGAGTGAAGTGGCTTGGATTAGCCAGTTTTTTCCACATGCGGAGGTACCTAAATAGCGCTCCGGTCGCCCCACTCGGTCTTTCTAGTACACTCTAGCCAAACTGAAATAACAGTATTTCAAGATGGCGACGCCCTTGAGAAATAGGTCTATGCTTTATGTAAGACTTTGTGTTAAATGCATACCTCGGCAAACCTCATTCATGAGGGCCCTCACTCACCCTCATCTTCACAGGTGAGGTGAGGGTGAGTGAGTTCCTGAACCAGGAAAATTCATGAGTGTGAGGGTGAGTGAGGGCCGTGAGGGGCGGTGAGGGCCGTGAGGGCCGTGAGGGCCGTGAGGGCCGTGAGGGCCGTGAGGGGTGTGAGGGCCGTGAGGGCCGTGAGGGCGGTGAGGGCGGTGAGGGCGGTGAGGGTTATGAGGGCCATGAGTGCGTGAGGGGCGTGAGGGTGGTGAGTGGCGTGAGGGCCATGAGTGCGTGAGTGGTGTGAGGGCGGTGAGTGTGTGAGGTGTGTGAGGGCCATGAGTGCGTGAGGGCGGTGAGTGCGTGAGGCTCCCTTCAGATCGAGCATCTTTCTCAGCAATTTTGGTGTTAATGGTGGGTTGTTCTCTAGCTTTCCCTAGATCGACACGAATTGCTGAGATGGGGTCCGGCTCGAAATAAACAAGCAACTCGGAGCAATTCGAATACGTTTGAAGCGGCTGCATCCAATCAGGGACGCAAAATTTTCACGTCATACCTCGTGCCGGTGATGATGACACCGAAAGACTTGGTTCTGGTTTGAAATCGATCGTTTTTTTGGAAATAAACTGTTTCAGAAAGGTGCATTAGTATTCTTAACGAGGTTTACATGCATAAAAACACGTTTATAACGCGTGATTGTGTCTAAATAGTGCAAGAAAAATAGAATTTTATGATGACGATGGCAAATTGCAGCAATTGGTTGCTGCGTGTGATCGCGGGCGGCCCGTGTTGCTAGTGTTGCAACGTAAAGTTTCTGGGTGAAATCGCCTCATCTGAAGCTGGCCTGAGTGGCGTGAGGGCCATGCGTGCGTGAGGGGCGTGAGGGGTGTGAGGGCCGCAAGGGTGGTGAGGGGCGTGAGGGCGGTGAGTGGCGTGAGGGCGGTGAGTGGCGTGAGGGTGGTGAGTGGCGTGAGGGCGGTGAGTGGCGTGAGGGCGGTGAGTGGCGTGAGGGCCGTGAGGGCGGTGAGGGCCGTGAGGGCTATGAGTGCGTGAGGGCGGTGAGTGGCGTGAGGGCGGTGAGTGGCGTGAGGGCGGTGAGTGGCGTGAGGGCGGTGAGTGGGATGAGGGCGGTGAGTGGCGTGAGGGCGGTGAGGGCGGTGAGTGGCGTGAGGGCTATGAGTGCGTGAGGGCCGTGAGGGCGGTGAGGGCCGTGAGTGCGGTGAGTGGCGTGAGGGCCATAAGTGAGTGAGGGCCGTGAGGGCGGTGAGGGCCGTGAGGGCGGTGAGGGCCGTGAGGGCGGTGAGGGCGGTGAGGGCGGTGAGGGCCATGAGGGCGGTGAGTGGCGTGAGGGCCATGAGTGAGTGAGGGGCGTGAGGGCCGTGAGGGGCGTGAGGGCCGTGAGGGGCGTGAGGGCCGTGAGGGTGGTGAGTGTGTGAGGGCCGTGAGGTTCAGTGAGGGTGAGTGAAGGGCTGAAGGTGAGTGTGACTCTGAGGATGACGGTGAGTGAGGGGCTGAAGGTGAGGGTAGCTGTGAGGGTGAGGGTGAGTGAGGGGCTTAGGTGAGTGTGGCTGTGAGGGTGAGGGTGAGTGAGGGCGACCTAAAATGCCGACCTCTGGTTAAATGTAACGCTTAAATCTGAAGCTGGAACGTAACATCAAAATGCGACAATTCATTCGTGGAATTCAACCAACAAAACACATTCTGCGTTGAAAAAAAATTTTGAGGTGACTCACTTGTAAAATGTGAACATCTTCTGCACGTTCCGCACCTCGTGGTTTCCCCTGAGCAGGTAGAACTTGTCGGGGGCCAATATCTTCTGGGCAAACAGGTGCGCAATGACCTGGCAATTGAACGAAGCAAAAGAGTGTGAGCTGCCTAGGGTTACAAATCTGTGACTGAGAGGCTTTATGGAAGAGCGGTTCGAGTTGAAAAGTGGGGCCTTGCAATAAGGGGACCGTACGTCCCACGTCCAAATGCAACCATTAATATTTCCGTCCCCACTTTCTGAATATGCATCTCTAGAATATCATACCAAGAAAAACGGAGTGCTACAATTGTAACTAGCACTTCTTAAAGCAGCACTATAAATGGTACAGGTCAACTTGCACAGGTTTTTTTTTTTTAAGCTTTACAGATTTGTTTAAAAGAAAAAGCTGTGAAAGTTACACCAATGGGGTTTATGCAGACGGGTTATACAGCCAGGGGGACATAATATAGGGGGCTAATTGTCATAAGTTGGTTAATTAACTAAAATTTGTTCATCAACTTTTCAAATAGGGGAAGTAAACATATGGTTCCAATTACAAACAGGATGAGCGTCGTTGAATACCACTGTCAGTAAATTTTAGAAAGATTTGGAGCACGTGAGAAGCATGGCAACGAGCTCAAGTCACCTCTTATGCAAACATGCAAGGCTAGCAGTGCAGAAACGCAAAAGAAGTCGCCACCACATGCTTTGCATCTGCATTTTCGCACTGCCAGTTCCGCGCCTTGTTGCATGAGTGTTAGCTTTTATTTATTTATTTATTTATTTATTTTACCCTCAGGGCACATGGCATTACAGAGGGGGTGGGAACAATAGTAAACATAATAAACAATTGGAACAAAATATACAATACTTAAAGAACAGAGAACATGAAATTAGCAATAGATGTACAAAAAAGTGTGTGGTCATTAAGTGAGCGATGCAGGTAAGCGATTCCAGTCTTTGGAAGTCCTGGGAATAAAAGAGTCATAATAAACGTTAGAGTGGCAAAATGGGACACCGACTTTGTGACGATGATCAAGGCGTCCTGAAACAAAGTAGGGGGAGATGCTTAGTTGGGATTTAAGCTGAGGAATATGGTGATAGATTTTATGAAAAAGACAAATACGAAAGACTGTGCGACGATGTGCGAGGCTTGGGAGTAACAAATTATCTTCATTGATGTAACACTTGCGGTGCGGTTATAATTAGCCATTATGAAACGTGCAGCTCTGTTCTGAATACCTTCAAGTGAATCAACGAGGTAAAGAGTAGAGGGATCCCAGATGGAAGCTGCATACTCTAGCTTGGACCTAACTAGTGTTTTATAAAGAAATAGTTTTAATGATGATGGGGCGAGATAAAAGTTACGTTTGAGGAAACCAAGCATTCGATTGGCGTTGTTAGTCACATAGTTAATATGAAGTTTCCAGGAAAGGTCAGCACTTAAAATCGCACCCAGATATTTGTATGAGTTTACAAGTTCTAGGGGTGTGTTATTAATACTATAAGCAAAATTGAAGTTGGCTTTACGTGTTATGCGCATTATTTTACATTTATTAATATTGAGCTCCATTGACCAGAGTTCACACCAGTGTAGTATGGAATCTAGGTCATGTTGCAGTTTTTGTGAGTCGGAGTCATTAGATATTACTTGATAAATAGCACAATCGTCAGAAAAAAGTTTAATTGAAGAAGAAACCACCGCATGCAAGTCATTAATATATATTAAAAAGAGTAGAGGTCCCAGAACGGACCCTTAGGTACTCCGGAAGAAACTGGTGCAGAGGAGGAGTTAGTACCATTACGCGTTACAAATTGTGACCGATTCGTTAGAAACGATACTAGCCAGTTAAACACGTTAGAGTCGATGTTAAGTTTACTTAACTTAAGCAGTAAAAGTCGGTGCGATACCTTCTCAAATGCTTTGGCAAAGTCTAGAAATATGCAGTCCACCTGAGATCCCTGATCAAGTGCCGAATGAAAGTCGCTGGTGATAGACAAAAGTTGCGTTTCACAAGATAAATATTTTCTAAAGCCATGTTGAGCTGGTGAAAAGAATGATTTAGATTCTAGAAAGTTAACGAGCTGCGTATAGATTATATGTTCAAAAATTTTACAGGGAACGCTGGTTAGTGAGATGGGTCTATAATTGATAGGAACATGCTTATTACCAGATTTGTGCAAGGGAATAACTTTACCAATTTTCCATTCGGCTGGTACCAATGAAGTCTCAAGTGATTGCTGAAAAATATGTGCAAGGATTACGGAAGAGTATTGATTTGTAGCTTTAGAAATTTTGAGTTAATCTCATCTATTCCAGTCGCTGAGGATAGCTTAAGACAATTGATGATATTCAGAACACCATCGGGAGAAATGATGATAGGATCCATTAATGGGAAGGAATCAACATGATAGCTTGGGTTAGCACAGATGGGGGTGCTAGAAAAAGACCTAATGAACACTTCCTGGAACATTGTAGCGCATAAAGATTCCTCGATCAGAGTTTCGTCTAGTGTTTTAAGTGAAATACATGAGGGTCTATCCCGGTGGGACAATACATTGCAGAATTGACGCGGATTATTTTTTAACATACCGTAGATGGTAGCAAATTGTGGAGGAAATTGACCTTAGCACTCTGAACTGCGCTCTTATAACACTGAGCAGCACTGAAGTAATTCTGCCAGCGAACTGGGCAGGACGTGAGCCTGGCAGCTCTAAATAAACGTTTCTTTTTGTTCGATAACCTCAAAAGCGCCCTGTTGAACCATGGTGAAGTAGAATTTACAATTATGGTTTTCAAAGGTATATACTTTTTAGTGAGCGAAATCACCGCTTCCTTGAAAAGCGTCCAGTTAGTTTCAGCAGAGCGCTCCGAGACGTTCTCAAAGAAAGCTTTAGCGCATGCTGCACTTCTCACGCACTCCAAATTGTTTTCAAATTTAATAATTCGGTGGTTTTCAATGCTGCTCAGCAACTTTTTTTATTGAAACCATGTTTATTTTCACTAAATAAAACATTAATTAACAAATTTTAGCTGATTATCTGACTTGTAGTGACAAGTAGCTTCCTATATTCTGTCCCCCTGGCCGTATACCTTAAAACGGTAAAACCGTACACCAACTTCAAAAGATAAGCTTTGATAAAAAGACTGCAGTACCAATACGTGCATCAACAAATTACGTGCAGGGTGCAGAAAAATGTCACAAGATGCAAATTGAGCAAAAATGATCATTGTAGGACACAACCATTCTCCTCAATTGCGCAGTAAGGAAATCGCAACGACACTGTTTCTGGCACCGTGGCAACTCCGGCAAACTTCGAAAACAAGACGTAGTGGCACGAAAGATATGAAAGCGCCACAGCTTTCTCGTGAACAACACTACCCAAAAAAGTGCACCGAAGTTAAAAAAAAGTGTGCACATGCGCACATTGAAACTATAAACGGCCAGGTGCCAGCCATATGTAACATAATCTGCTTTAAAAGCGAGAGTAAATATAAAGGAAACAAGAAAAAAACGTTTAGCCTTTCTACCCTTGTGAAGTAGTAGGAAGACCAGCGGAGCTGTACTTGATACACTGCCACAACGCGCACGCGCCCGTTTCCCGTTTCTTCTCGTCCGACACGCCGCCAATCGTGGATACATCTCCGGCGAACCAGAGTTGGTCGCATACGGTGCACGTGACGCCAAACGGGTCATCCACAAACTTCCTCCAAAAACCTCGCTGTCGCGCCCGAGAAATGTTCAGCCGGCGTGGAGCAGTCGTCGCCGGGCCTCACGCTTGCGCTTGGTCTCCATGGCACGATCGTTGTCCGTAGCGTTGGCCTGCCGGCGCCCCTTACATCATTGGTTCTGCTCTCGGTGGAGGCTTTCCAGACGAGCGATGTGCTCTTCTTTGGCAAGGGAATCTGAAGCGCTCGATGCAGTGGAAGTCGAGGCGACAGCGGCTTTGAGGCGGTTGCGGGCCCATTCGCGCTGCTGTGTACGTCGCCGCTCCTTCCGCAGCCAGTCTTCTTTCCCCGAAAGGACGCGCGGCCGACCCATCCTAAGTCCAAACCGAACTGATAAGAGCTTAGGAAACAGCGCGCAAAACAGACGAAGACGAAGAAGAAACACAAGTGACGTGCACTACGCTCGCCACGTGTCTTTTCTTCGTCCTCGTCTGGTTTCCGCGCTGTTTCCTATGATGCATTCCCACCAACGCGCCCAACTAGCACACAACCAGACTGGTTGTGTGCCAGACTGGTTGTGTGCTTGCCGCCGTTGTTTATAGATGGCGGTAGCTGTCCAGGTAGGTTTGTGTCGCGTTTGATACCGGGCACGATCCTGGGGAACCTAGCCCTTAACAGCTCCGCTGTAAAAAAAAAACAGGAAGAAGGTGCACAGACATTTGTTTTAAACAGGCAGTGATTAGAAAACCGAGTAAACAAAGATAATTCGGTCAAGTCAAACCCGCTGAGCCGACAGGCAACCTACAGGTGGTTAGGCCAAAGGGTTTCTGAAACTTTCCAATCTCTAGAACCCGTTTATCTTGAGTGACAGCCAAAGAACCCCTCTGTGTGCTTCACACATAGCTACGCGTTAATGGATGGCTCAGATCTGGTCAAACAGGTCTTAAACTGGGTAGACACTTTACTTCGAGGTAGGGGTGGTTGACGCGACTTCGGGGTTGGGGTAACTCAAGGGTACTTAGGAGAACCTCCCGAGTTCCTGAGAACCCAGTCTGAGAACCCGCGGGTTAGGCAAACTCGGGAATTGCATTTCAACATAACTGGAGGGGATGCCAGGCAAATCCAGCATTCATTACATAGTCCCACCAATACAGGCTGTGAAACGCTTTGCTAGCTTTGTTGATTGATTGATTGGGGTTTTTTGGCGCATCAGCAACTAAGGCTATATTGCGCCAAGCTTATACTATTGCAATTCGGGTTTAAGAAGAGGAAAGAGCTATAGTAGCGAAATGTATGATAAAACCATGAACATGAATGTGTATAAGTGTAAACAATACGACAATGAGTTTAGGATAGAAAGTAAAATCACAGTCGGTGTAGAAGGCCGATATCTGTGAGGAAATTAAAAACACAACTATATGGA